GTAGTTTACGCCAAGAGGAAGAAACAGCCACCCAAATACTCTTCGAATGCAAAGCAACCAAGGAGACATAACCTGGGATACAAAGAAAGCCTGGGAAAAGGAATTGTACAAACGACAGTCAATAATCTAGTACTTCTTAGAAGGATCGACTCGATTGCACTGAATGATTAGGAAAGTACAATAAACCAAAAGGTGCTTGGCGAACAACAAACAAAAAATCATCATCTTCATACAACACGACCTCCGTACAATGAACTGAATTATCAAAAACTTGTTCAATGTTACAATCTCTCTTATGTTATTCCCAAAACATCGAACCATTAAATAACCTTGGGACGTATTTTATCGATTGATAACACCGTCAAATAATAATGAATTTTAAGAAAGCTTATCCCATTGCGTCATTACACGATGGAAAGTATTAATATTTCCATACTACGGATCGATTTCAAGTTCCTTCGAGAGGGGTACTAATCACTCTGAAACTTTGAATAATTTTTCTTTTTTCATTAATCAATCATCGATCGCGATTGATCAACAGTAGTGTTTTATAATTCGGCGGTTCTTGACGATGGTACCAACATTTTCCAGTTTGAAACTGCCTATTATAATTTTACATTAGAAACCTAACCTATACCTGCATTTATTCTTGACAAAATGGGCCTGATTACGAAAATAGAACACCGTACGATAATGACAGGGGTTGGGGTTCCAATTTAATAGATGAAAAAAAACACCATCCAAAGAAAATTAGCAAATGCTGTGACCAAGTAGTAAAACACGGCTCTCCCAACCTGACCAAGCGGAGGGCCCAGCGAGGCTTAGCTGTCCCCACCTGGAGACTGGATGGTCCAGTCCCTCTCCGCTACCGTTTATCTATAGAGTTGTACGCTTTGTTAATTATACCTAGTCTTATCACCTTCTTTTATGTTATTTTCTATTTTCCTTTTGTAACTATTTTTCTTGCTGATACGCGCACCCTACCTCACCTACGCTGACTGGTCGTGAGCATTATGACTTAAACTAAGGTGATTCCTTTTCTCTTTCTCATTTCTCGTTTCTTTGGCTTATGCTTGGCGCCCAAGTTTGTTAAAATTAATTTAATTTGCTTTTTAAATTTATTCCTTATCCGGTTCAAGTCATAAAAGAAATTGGCATGCCTACACGCTCTCTGTATGGAGCCAAGACATGACACGCCTCTATTATGACGACACATCGAGCAACCTTTCTCTGTATAAGGGGACCTGCGCGGGCTTTGGCCCAAAAACAGGTGCTCATGTGTCAACCAGAAAAAAAAACTCGCTTCGGCGGTACATATACTAAAAATGCTTGTTATAACTGTAATGAGTATCTTTATATGTTAATGATTGGTGAAAAGAATGTTAACCCAATCATATTAAATGAAGAAATAGTGAAATTTAATATAAGATTTAGTAAAACATTTTATAAAATATATGTGAAAATTTTAATGATAATTTTGATTGTTTTTCAACAAAATAAATTGTGTTCTTATATCGTTTTCCTCATTTTTCCTCAGGAAAACGGAAAATTCGAGGTTCGAAAGAACCCTTGGCGTAATGTTTTTTTTTCGAGCTACGAAAATTAAACCATTTTGGGCCAAAGCCAGCGCAGGTGCCCATGTGTCAACCTCGTATGGCCAATCCTCAGCCGGGTGAGGACGATCCCTCGTCTCCTGCTCAGGTTGTCTGAGGGCCATCTACCGGTCGTGCTTTGACATGAAAGAGCCTCTCCGACGACCCCGCCCACTGATGCTGCCATATTTCATTTATCATATTTTTTACTGCGTGTTTAGCGTCAGGGGGCTTGATCGCGATGGTCCGATCCGGAGGGTGGGACGTACCGGCTTTCGCCGCCTCGTCCGCGCGTTCGTTACCCTCCAGGCCGATGTGTCTGGGAATCCAGACAACAACCACCGTTTTTCCGAGAGGCTCCAGCTCCGCGTATTTCATGCAAAAGCACGACGAGAGGGTCCACAACCTATCGCGTATAGCCCAGACAGCGCTCAGAGAGTCGGTACGTACGAGGAAGGCTGAGCCCTCCCGGTCCGCTCCGCCACGAGAGCGTGCCAAATCGCATACAGCTCTGCCGTGTATACGCTGCAATGAGGGGGCAACGACCAGAAGGTGGCCACTCTCTCGCTATACACAGCACACGTTACACCATCGCCGGTCTTGGACCCGTCTGTAAAAATCAGACGAAAACCGGCGTACCTATTTCTAAGTTCAAGGAACTTAGCCTTGTAGAGGTATGGCGGCGTACACGATTTGGGCAAGTTCGCCAGATCGTCCCGGACGAGTACGGCCGGAAAGATCCAGGGGGTGTCGGCCGGTGGCCCAACCGAAGCACCGTCCCCAGCGCCAATCCGGCCCTCCCTAAGGACTCACCGAACTGAATCCCGAGGGGTCGTGTCTGCGAGCGAATCCTGTCGTAGACTACTCTGTACGGGCAGTGGAGGATCTTCATAGCGAGGGGGTGCTCCGGCTTGGCCAAGAACCCGGCCGCGTAACCAAGGGAAAGTTGCTCTCTCCGAAGTTCGGGAGGCAAGACCCCCAGCTCGCAGCACAGACTGGCCAAGGGGCTGGTCTTGAACGCCTCCGAGATTGCTCTGAGGCTCTGATAATAGAGCCTATCGAGCTTTCTCAGGCGTGATTTTCGGGCCGAGGAATAAGCCATACATCCATAAAAGATCCTCGAACAAAGGAGCGAGTCAAAATTTTGGGGGCTATGGGCCCTCCTCAATCTGCAAAAGTGAACACACACCGTTTTCGAAGTGGAAAAGGTAAACCCGGTTTCCTCGGCTATCGCAGCTACGTCGTTTATCGCCGACTGCATCCTACCGCCGACTTCCGCCAGATCCTTACCCGAATGGTAGAAGCAGAGGTAGTCGACAAAGAGCATTTTCTTTGTCTGCGGGGGGACGCCGTCAGCGGTACCGTTCACCGTCACCAAGAAAAGCGCAACGCTCATCACCGAACCCTGAGGGATACCGTTCTCCTGAACGTGCTCCCTAGAGAGCACAGTTCCTAGCCTAACTCGGAACCTACGGTTCTCCAGGGAACCCAGGAGGACCGTGGCAATTTGCCTCTTAGACCGAAATCGTGACATTTCCGTAGTATTGCGTATCTCCACGTCGTATCATAAGCCTTCTCGAGGTCGAAGAACACGGCCAGAGCGTGCTCTCTGTTCAAGAACGTGTCCTGAAGGTCACCCTCGAGAAGACATGCATGATCCACCGCAGAGCGATTCCTACGGAATCCCGCCTGATACTGGCTGTAAAATCCCTTTGTCTCCAGGTGCCAGATCAGAGAACCGTTCACCACAGACTCCAGGACTTTGCTCAAGCAGGTTGTTAACGAAATCAGTCTGTAACTCGTAGCCAGGCTAGGTTCCTACCCTCTTTAAGGATAGGTATGATAAGTGCTTCTCGCCAACGATCGGGGTAAGAGCCTGATTCCCATGTGTTGTTGAACAAGTCCAACAAGCGCCGCTTCGCATCCTGGGAAAGGTGGCGAAGCATCTCATATGGGATACCGTCACACCCAGGGCTTGAATTCCGGGCGCGCCCCAACGCGAACTCGAACTCTCCCATCGTCAAAGGCATGTTCTACGCTTCACTGGTGCCACCGCCGAAATCGATCTCAGTGCGTTCCGTCTCGGTTTTCCTTTGTCGGAAGGTATCGGAACATGCCTCGGAACTGGACACCGCGGCAAAATGCCCGCCAGTTCTTCGGCAACTTCCCAGGCTTCCGTCACACTCCCGCGATAGGTGGTCAATATCGGTACCGACGGAGGTTTGGATCGGCCAGAGACTCTGACCCTGTCCCATACTTCTCTGGCAGAGGTGTGGCAAGTCATCTCAGACACATACCTCGCCAGGCTGTCCTTTTTGGCTTGGGACAAGGTACGCCTCTCTCTAGCCCTTTTTACTTTAAACTTTGCAAGGTTCTCCTCTGTCGGATGTCTTCTGAAGCGCCGGAATGTCGCTTCTTCTCCACATGTGCACAGCCGCAGGCATCGCTCCACCAAGGAACCGGTGGCCTACAAGTAGACCACCGGTCTGAGGATGGATCTGCCCGCAGCGCGGTTGATCTCCCACTCAAAGAGGAGGAGATCAGTGTCGACCACCCCTTATTAACTGAGGTGCCACCACCGTCGCAGAGAAAAGCTACCAATCCGCACGCTTCAGGCTCCACTTCGTGGGAGTGATACACTCCTCTCGAGACAAACTCCTCAACACTATCGGAAAGTGGTCACTCAGTAAGGACCCCTAATGGAGCCCATTCTAGCCGGGTGGCAGGGATGGTGAGACTAACAACAGGTCGATCGCGCTAAATCGGCCTGTATCAATATGTGTAACAGCAGAATAGCTACCGAACTATTCCCCATCATCAATTGGGCTTTTGTATTCGCCACTCGACTAACAACTGCATAAAATTTTAGTCGTCATTTCCACCTCCCACTAGTTAAAACAGTAGTCTTGATATGACTCGGACTGTAGATGCTCAAGCACATCCTTATCCTAAGAACCTATATTACCGATTTTCAATTTCCTACCTATCCTACTGCAGCAGGTATCCCACAGAGCAGCGTCCTCCCTCCTCTGTTTTTCTCCTATACATCCAACCTATCCACACAACACTCTTACCTTTGCTACTGCGCAATCCTTTCCAGTACAGATCCATTAACAGCTTCCTATAGTCTTCAAACAAAAAAAAAAATTTATAAATTCTTTAATATTAAAGAATATTACAGGTTATTTTAATAACTTTCTTCTAAAACAAGGATAAAAACTGTTGATTTGATTTAACTTGTTTTTTATGTAATTTATTTGACGTACTTTCTTTTAAATCTTTTTATCTACACTCGTTAAGCATTTTTCCTTTTTTTAGGAAGTCAGGTATATTTGATGTTAAAAAGCAAGAATGCAGAAAGTAAAGATGCATGGATTGGTCGGGGACCTTTGGCCGAATATACGGCTGATGCAGTTGACAGGCCACTGGCTCCTGGAATACCACGAAGAAAATGGAGGGATCATGAGGCTCCTTAGGCTGGCGTATTGTTGGATCACAACTCTCCTCATATTAGTACAGTTTGGATTCCTCGTCTGCTTCCTCATTCTTGAGACCTATGATGCAGACCAAATGGCAGCGGCGACAATCACAACGCTGTTTTTTCTACACAGTGTAACCAAATATTTATATTTCGCTTTGAGAAGTAAATATTTCTACAGGACACTAAGTGCTTGGAATCAGGTATATCATTCACTTTTCTTTTATTCTTAGCAATTAATATTTTATTATTAATAATAACATTAGAGGGGACATCGGTGGCCGCAACGGTTTAAGCGTTGACACGGCGCTCATCACTGTAAGGTACTGGGTTCGGATCCAGCGGTACTGCATTCGAACCCGATATTCTTATAAACGGGCTTTTTTCAAAAACACCGGCACGCTGAGGGTTTATATGACCTTTGCTGTTGTGAACCCTCGTAAAAAATATATATATTTGTATATAAAACCTGCTAAATTTGATACACAATGTAATTGTTCATCTAATATGAAAATAAATCTAGGCACTTTTTTAGTTGTTTTTTTTTTTATGATAAAAATTTAACAGAATAATAAAATAGCATTTAGATTTTTGTAATGTTATGCTAGGTCAATTTAATGTAATTTATGAATCTTTAATTCAAATACCTACTGAATAGTCTCAAATAGTTCTATTTATTTTTTATTTTTCTAAAGTTCATTTAGCGCCTAGAAATGGTTTATATTTAATTATTTATTAATTATTCAGTTCATTTTAAGTATGAGCACTAGTTTTTTATTTTCAGGTCAACTCTCATCCATTGTTTGCTGAATCGAATGCTAGGCACAGGGCAACTGCTCTGTCCAGGATGAGAAAGTTTTTAATGATCATTGGAGTCGGAACGATATTTTCAGTTTTAGCATGGACAACGGTAACATTTCTCGATGAACCGTACAGAGATATTACCGACCCAGATGATGTGAATTCTACAATCACTGTCGAAGTTCCGCAGCTAATGGTGGATGCTTGGTATCCATGGGATGCAAGAACTGGAATGGCTTATTTTCTCACCTTTATTTATCAGGTGAAATGAATAAAGATTTGTTGTAAATATCAAATAATCTGGCTTTTTTCTAGTTATACTGGTTAATCATGTCCCTGAGCCATGCAAACTTGCTTGACATACTGTTCTGCTCATTTGTAATATTTTCATGAACATTTTCACTGAAGCACCTTAAGGAAATTTTACAGCCTCTGATGGAGTTAAGTGCAGCTTTGGATTCTGTAGTGCCAAATTCTGGAGATCTCTTCAGGGCATCATCTACTTCATCCAACATCCCACTAATAGGAAATGGTAGATTATTTTATAAATAGTGCGTGTAAATTGTACATGCTTATAAATTCTGCTTCTATAAATATATACAGGGTGTCCCAGTTCCTTCTGACGAAACTCAGGGAAACGATTCTACTCTTTGTTTGGAGCAAAAAATGCCCAGGAGAAAATTTTCGGAAAGTTCTCAATTTTGAAGATATTCGTGAATTTAGATTTTTTCAACTTTTCACTACCTTACCACATAAAAACGCTTACAACTTCCAAAATGTTGAGACTACAACAAATCTAATTACACCATTTGAAAGAACGCTAAATTTGCTGTAAGATACTTCTATTTGCAATAATCTGAATGATATAAAATGTTAGCCAATATCAGTTGGAACATGTCAAAATTACAAAATTTAAAATTTTGGTCATGATTGCATGTTCTACTGAGGTTACAAAAAAATACTTATAACTTGTCAAATTTCACAAAAACTTTTTCATCTAATATGCTTTATGTTGATACATCTAGGTTTTTAAATAACGTTCTAGTAGAGTTGAAAAATAACAATTGAATGTTCGAAAATGTGAGCTAAGGTAAATTTGAAGGGGGGGGTTAGAAATAAATCAATTAGAACTCACTTTGTAAAATAATATTAATATTATTATCTTTCAGTAACTCACCCTACCTGATACATTCTGTGATGATTATTGTTTAAACTTCGATCCCATCCAGCATTTTTCATTCAACCGGTCAAACAAGTGTCATTTTTATTTTACAAAGCGAGTTCAAATTGATTTATTTCTACCCCCCTTACCTAATTTACCTTAGCTCACGTTTTCGAACATTCAATTGTTATTTTTCAACTCTACTAGAACGTTATTTAAAAACTTGGATATATCAACATAAAGCATATTAGATGAAAAAGTTTTTGTGAAATTTGACAAGTTGTAGGTATTTTTTGAAACCTCAGTAGAATGTGCAATCATGACCAAAATTTTAAATTTTGTAATTTTGACATGTTCCAACTGATATTGGCTAACATTTTATATCATTCAGATTATTGCAAAGAAGTATCTTACAGCAAATTTAGCGTTCTTTCAAATGGTGTAATTGGATTTGTTGTAGTCTCAAAATTTTGGAAGTTGTAAGCGTTTTTATGTGGTAAGGTAGTGAAAAGTTGAAAAAACCTAAATTGACAAATATCTTCAAAATAGAGAACTTTTCTTAAATTTTCTCCTGGGCATTTTTTGCTCCAAACGAAGAGTAGAATCGATTCCCTGAGTTTCGTCAGAAGGAACTGGGACACCCTGTATATATAAATATATATATGTGTGTGTGTGTGTGTGTGTGTGTATTTATAACTCCAGCAGAATGAATCTACAAGAGGATTAGTCAAAAAAAGCACATAATAAAAAAAGAAACAAATAATAATTGAACAATACTAAAAAAAGTAGTTGCTTTCCTTTGTACTTTTTCTAAGTCGTTAATCTCACAAACGTGGAAAGGGGACCAAACGACACATGTGTATTCCAGATGGCTACACATGTTATAATGTTATATTTGTTATTGTAAAAAAATTTAAATCAGGAATATAGCTAATTTTAATACACAAAAATATGACCATTACAATTGAAGGATGAGCCCAAAAAATTAATAAGTAAAACTTACCTTTGGCCAAGCATAATTAAGAGAAGAAAAAAAATTAATGTGGTTGTGAAAACGAATGTGTAGTTCCATTCAGAAAATTCTCACAGAGAAGACAAAACAGCCAACTTGTAATTCAGAAGAATTGATTTAAAAAAAAAGAGTAAAATACGCTTTGTCTTAAAATAGGATACATTGCCGAGTTAAGGGTTAACCTCAAATTTATTTATTTTTTGTTTGTTTTATTTTACTGTACATTTATATTCTTTTCAGTTATTAATTTAATTCTCAAGAATTTTTGGGATATTCTTCATCCTTATTCCTTGCTTGTTGGTTTATTTTTATTGTAAGCTAACCTCAAAAAGCCGATGGGCGGCCCTCAGAGGGTCTGGCATGTAGGGATCCCAGCCAATATGAGAATTATACTTAAGCACGACATCTCGGTTCTCTGTTCTGATTTTTAGAGAAAGCAGGATTTTTTCTGTATATAATGCTTTATACATATCTTGCTTGTGTTTGTGCATGTTGAAACTGAATGTATTTATTAGCAAGAATATGTAATGTAAAAGGTCAATGGCGGAATAGTGAGTACCCTAACAATCCTCAATCAGGTTAGCTAAATAATAGGTGATGGAGGAAAATTGTGTACTCACTCTGAGTAAATGGTATGTAAATAAGAATGTATTTAAGAGTGAGAATGTGAGTGGGTTTGGTTCTGGAGAGTGAATGTGTTGGGGGCTGAAATGTCCTAGCGGTTGATAGCCCCTGGATCTAAACCTCAATGACTGGATGGATATTGGTGTCTGACCCTCGACTGCCAACACCTGGGTTGGGTGATTCTCAAGACCTTCAAGTAATTTATTATAAAAGACAAAAGCTGGACTTGCCGGTAGGCTGCGAGAAGTGATACATGTGCCTATCTAAGTATTTAAATCAGTAATTAGTAATTAACCTCAAATCGTTGCTTACATTTTACACATTTTATTCGTCCTGGAATAAAATTTATTATGGCAATATTGCAATTTTAGATGTAAATGAGTTCGACGTTCGTGGAATATACAGCAACCAACGAGACTTTTCCGGATTCCAAGGCGGCGCAATACCAACAAATGGCGGTATCGGGCCAAATGGACTTACAAAAAAGCAAGAACTTTTAGTCCGATCTGCTATCAAATACTGGGTCGAGAGACATAAGCATGTTGTCAGGTAAAAAAAATACTGGTTAAATTAACTCAAAATTTAAAACTAATTTTGCCTTTTTATTGCAGATTTGTTACAAGCATTGGTGATTGTTATGGTTCCGCACTTCTGCTTCACATGCTGACTAGTACTGTAACACTTACCCTTCTTGCATATCAAGCAACTAAGGTTATTAAATTGATCTCTTTTGTTTACATATATATTTTTAATTTAATATTACTGGCTAATTTTAACTTAAAAGATCATTAATAAATATCCTAATGCAAATTTAGATCGAAGCTGTTGATGTTTATGCATCTACTGTCATTGGGTACTTATTATATACACTTGGACAGGTCTTTGTGTTTTGCATTCATGGGAATGAACTCATTGAAGAAGTATGTTGTTTTTTTTTGTAATTTGTAAGCAACTCAGTACACAACTGCAATTTCAGAGCTCATCTGTGATGGAAGCAGCTTACAGTTGTCATTGGTATGATGGGTCCGAGGAGGCGAAAACATTCGTTCAAATTGTTTGCCAACAATGCCAGAAATCGCTCACCGTCTCTGGTGCAAAGTTCTTCACTGTATCACTGGATTTGTTTGCTTCGGTGGGCACCTTAAAATGTACATGACAATATTGGCCAATAATAATAATATCAATGTTCCAGGTCCTAGGTGCTGTAGTCACCTATTTTATGGTGTTGGTGCAGCTCAAGTAAATTCTTACGATACCCAATCTGAAGAAAAAATTTTTCTCACTTGATGTATTACAAAATAATCACATTTATAATCTAGTGGAGTAAGAATGATTTATATAAATACTAATTGTAAATAATTAATTTACACTATCACTCATTTTAGGAGTTAGATAAATAAATATTGCTCATTTTCATTATGGAATTTTTATAATTAGATGATATTGTATTAATTCCATCAATTAAATTTAATATAGGGAAGTCCTTTGCTGAGTAAAAATTTATAAGTGTTGATTATATTTAACAAATTAATTTTGCCATATGTAGCATAAATTTATATTTTTTAATATTTAAAACATTTATATAGAGAGTTATATTTTAAATATATATGTATGATAGTGTATAACAATTAGTTATAATATGTTATAATGTAATATAATTAAGTAAAATATTAAAAAAAGTATGCATATTTTATTTCATTTATGGCCAGATCGGCAGAGAAGCTCTTACATATCGAGATGTCAATAAGAGCCCCTCAGAGGACCTGACTTGTAGAAGAAGTCATCCTCACCCGAGTAAGAATGTGATCTTGACATTTTATACTTTTGGGCCAAAGCTCGTGAATGTGTCTTCCATTCAAGGTTGCTCAATGTGACACCTAATTGAAGGGTGCCAATGACCACCTGATAAGCTCCATATAGGAAGCACGTAGGAAGACCACCTGATATGAGAATTGTGTCTGATTATGAAAATGAGTATCTGGGTCTCTTATTCCAATTCTTTGAGGAAACAAGGATATTTTATTGTATATAGTAATGAAGAGAGTGAATTTATTTATAAGCATGAATGCGTAATGTGAGAGGGTCGATGGTAGAATATTGAGTACCCCATCAACCCTCAATTAGATTAATTATATAATATGTGAAGTGATGGAGGAATGACGAGTACTCTACCACCCTGAGTTAATGGTATGAAAATAAGATAGAATATATTTAAGAGTCAGAGTGTGATGGGTTTGGATCTGGAGATTGATTGGGGGATGAAATGACCTAGGTGTTGATACCTCCTTGAGCCCAATCTAGGCAGCTGGACGGATAAGTCTGAGTTCTGACCCTGGACTGCCAACACCCAGGTTGAATAGGATTCTCAAGGCCAGCCGGTAATTCATTGTACAGTACAAAACCTGGGAATTGCATGGACTGCGAGTCTTGGACTTGGAGACAGTCTCGACTCTTGTACATATGCAGATTTGAGTTTATATAAATCAGTATTTCATTAGTGATAAAATGTCATCCTGCAAATGTATGTTTTGTTTTCATATTATAGAAAGTTACGTCAGGGAGAATCTGATTCAGAAAAGAGGGAACATGCTCATGTGGCTAATGATAGGCCATATATGGTTGGAACATGGACACTCGATGTGACAAAAAATGACTATCTCACTTGATGTGACTACAAAATGACTATCTTGGCTCAATAAAGAGCTTATAGGCATGTTGCTTGATGGTTTTTGAGCATCTGTTTTTGGTTTCATTGTTCCTTTATCGGACATTTAATGGTAGGATATTGTGGAGGAGGTTATCGATTGTGGTTACCCATAGAAGGTAAGATCATCAAATCAAGGGATGTCAGATTTAATTAAAACATTATGGAGTATAAGGATATCAAGCCTCATATCAACCAGATTAACAATTTCCAAAATAAACAAGTCGTACAAATTGACACTCACACAGAAACAGAAGAAGAAAATAAAGATTTAGAAACTGAAGAAACCATAGAAAGCAATTTAGAAGACAAAAAACAAAAGGAAAAAGGTGTTACGCAACAAGAAAGAAGAAAAAGTAGACCTTCCTACTTAAATGATTATGAGCTGTATACAGCTTATTGTTTCCTTTCTTCAAACAATGACCCCAACAGTTATAACGAGGCGTGTATGTCTCCTGAATGGGATGAAGCAATAAAAAAGAAATTAAGTTAACTACACTTGTGTATTTTCTTGTCTTTATTCCAGGCAGGTCTTATTATTATTTATCTTAACCAGTTTTTAGTACATTCAATTTTCATGCAAATAAGGTTGAGATGAATAATTTATTGGACATTTACATGCATTAACTACAATAAGTAAATACAAGATGGCTGAATATGGGAACTACTGTTTGAGCGGTTAGGGCGTCCAACTCGGGTTTGATACACATCCCAGCATAGTACATGGCTTTATAATTGATTATGATATGAAAAGCATATTGTAAAGTGGTGTGGTCACTCATGACTGACACCCAATGGGTAGTTGGATATTAAGCTTTATTAATCTTAAAGCTTTTTATCAGATTCAAAATCTTTGTTAAGGGCTCCTGTCTGTATCCTTTAGTCCATGGTTTATCCTCTACCAGGAGTATGAATCTCATCCTGCAAAGGCCTTAAGACATTTCTTTTTCTTGGAATATATCTACATAGGATTGTTTCTACTGTTCTGAGTCTATATGTTTTCAGTATATGCAGTCCTATTATTCTAGTTCTAGCATGTCTTAGGTTTAGTAGTTCTGTGATGGTCCTTTATTGAACTTTTCCACATGCTTCTGTCCTGAGCTACATTCCTGTTGAACTGAGTATTGTGGTTTATTGCCATTTCAGAGGCTGTTCAGTTGACCAATATCGGTTGGAATCACATCTTCACACCATAGAGGATGGGTTACCGTCAACCTCTGAATTGTGGCCCTAGCCTCTGGATCAAGATATATATATATCCCGGGCAGCAGTAGGGCGTCTTTCTCATCACCCTACGCACGTTAATCTAAGGTTTTCATTCAATGCCCTTGTTATCTAAGGTCAAAATTATTAAAAAATTGATATTGAACAAATATTTTTCACCAAAGTAATGGTAACAGGGTTTCTAGTACTGCAAGACAATTTCACAAGATATACATTTATTTTTAAACGTTTTACAAAGCAATTCATTAGATATATTTTTATTACATTTTGTACAAATATTTACAAGCGATATACTTTCTTTTCACAGGATGTATAATGTAAGCGAAGTATTCATCGTTTTAAATTTAAACTTTTTCAAAAACGGTTTCTCCCTTTCCATAAGCAAAAGGAGTATAACGTAGCAGTAGTTACTCAACATACAAAGAAAGTGTAAAAACGATTAAATTTTAAAAAAATTACCCTTCAATGCAAACTGAGTAGTATACTAAACTGATTTTGCAGAAATCTGTGACAAATCAGCACTGATGTAAACGTTGGCAGAAACAGCCATGCTCTGAGAATAATTTTGTTATATCTAGAGTTTTTATCTGGGATTTACTAAAAGAATACATATATGATTCATGATATTGACACAGTATTTAAAAATTAAAAAGCTAGACTCACATTGAAATGGTTTTTACATCATTGTTTGTTTTCATATATGGTTGATTTTTCATCTTGATTATTCGAATGTTAATATATAAAATAAGTCGTCTGTTTACACTGTTTCACTGAAATTCATAGTATTTAGTGTTAACTATTCTGAGTAGAATCAAAATTTAGAACAAGACGATAAAACTAACCACTTAAATAATGAAGCCCGTGTTGAACAAAAACTTGATGTTTAGCAATTTCGCTTCTTATATACAAAATTTATAACCATTTAAAAACACAATATTATATTAATGTGTTTATCCAACTCAACCAAAGTTAATCTGTGGATTGTTTAATTTTGGTGTTGATATCGACAAAAATCTATTCAATACTTTTCTCAACACATGGCCATTTTCTAAGTCAATACCGCTTTCACAAATGTTTTTATTTGTGAGCAGGTACCTAATAAATTGTAAGTTTTGAGCATACAAAGACAAAATTGTAGAGGACGAAAGAGAAAAACTCCCATAAAAATAAAATTTTAGCCACCGATCAATTATTTAGTACTTGGGTAATAGTCGTTAATTGGGTTCAAAAGAACCTCCGCATTAAAAAAATGCGGTAAAAAAAAAAAAAAAAAAAAAAAAAAAAAAAAAAAAAAAAAAACCAGTTATATCAATAAAGAAATTAAGTTTCATCACCAGTTAAGATATCGCCAGTTATTTACACCTAAATCATTTTTATGATGTTATTCGAACTACTCGTTTAAATTATTGTGTAATACATACCTGTAATGTATTACATTAAATTAATTTAAAGTTATTTAATGAAAATTTGAGAAAAAAATAATAAAATGACATAGATTACAGATATAAAACATTTTCACGTTATACTTGTAGAAACTTGGAATGCTTACAAATTATAAAAAAATAACTTTTTTGAACAAAGGTTTTTACAAAGGCATTTGTTGTTTACCTATTTATGATTTTTTTTTTGTTAAATGTTTTGTCTTTTTGAAGATTATTAAAGGAGAGAAAAATGGAGCCTCAAATTGGAATATTCCTTTATATTTCAATTTGAAATAAAATAGGGAAAACAAATAGTTTAATATTTTTATGTTTACAATTTTTTGTTCAAATTATGTAATTATTAAGTTTATAAAAATAAATATATTGCAAATATATTTGTAAACATTTTTACAAAAATGATTACAAGGAAGTGAATACCTAAATTAAAAGACGAAAGTACTGTACACGTTATAATTATAACAGCTCTGCGACATCAAGATTAACGAAAAACAAATATTTTTATAAAATTGGAAAATAATAAAACAACGTATTGCCAATTTGATTGAGAATTTGGATAATAAACCCATCAATCATTATTAGGTCAGTTGCAAACAACTGCTTTCAACAATTGTGAAACAAAATCAAAAACAGTCCAGTATCGTGTAAAAAAATTTTTGTCGCTCAACGTTTACAAAATAAAAAAAATTTAACAATAAGTTTTTTTATTCATTTTTCATCAGCCTTTTTTATATGTATGTTTTTCGGTAAATAAATTTAAATTATTACAAAGAAAAAGAAAAAAATTCAAGCACTATGCACTGTAATTTTTTTTTATCATCCAAACAATTTTTGCTACAATGTAGTTAAAGGTTATAAGCTTTTTCTAAACTTTTTTTAAATAATTTGTGAAAGAAACATGGAAATAACAAACTCCATCTCACTTGGTGTGCGCCCTGCATTTTTACAGTTTACGTTGCCCATTGTTCTAATTGTTTTAAATCTTCGTCTTCATCTGAAACTGAAAAAAAAAAGTTATAACATACTATTAAATATAGTTAATAGTGGGTTGTAACACAAAACCGTATTTTTCAATAGTTTGATTTTTATAGATACTATGTTTTGAAGCAGTGTTTATTTAGTATTCAATTTTGTTCAAGATCTTGTATTTTTACAAAGCGTTATTGCTAATTTACATGGACGAAAAATAGTGTATTTTGTCATTTAATGATTTTTTATTATTACCATATGCTGGTGAATAAATGAGTTGGAAATAATTGTCAGCATAAAGTAGTGGTGTAAAAATTTTCTACAGCTGTAAATCTCTGATGACTCGGCAACCCGGTAGGGAACAAAGGAATATTTCCTAAAAACCTGGAGGGTGTAGAAATGTGACAAGTGAAAAGCCCCAATAAATAACAAAAAAGACAAAGTGTTATTTATTGAAGGAAAATAGTCGCGTGTCGTGGACAGGGCTCATTGAGGTGAGGGTCACCATAAAATTGGGATCGTGTCAACTGGATGAGCTTTGTACACCCTTCATCATAGGGACATCGACAAAGGTGGCTGTATAATGGAAGCTTCCTAAAATTACGATGTGTGGCGTGATTGGGCAGGTCATGACCATCAGGCCCAACAAATTTTGCTTTCCCTTCCATCTAGATGGTTGGGAAATCAGTATAAAATGGGAACATTGGAAAAGCAAGTACCCCCATTGAAAACTCAGTCAGAGGGTGAGTGAAGACACTCGGTCGTGACAAGATGTCAACTGTCAAATGTCTAGGATGGACTCAGTCGGGGAGGTCAGCAAGAGCCAGAGGACTCATTCAGCCAGAGCCAAAAAGGTGACAGCTGGTGAGCTAAGTCGAGTAGATTTGACTGTCAAGGGTCTAGGAAGCAGTGGGAATGGGAAACTAGGAGGAGCTAAAGGATGTGGAACTGGTGTTGTTGGCTTTTGGGGTAAGTTATTTTTGTACATAAACACATCCCCTTGGAGTTGTATTGTTTGTTTTGTACAGGGTGTCCTTTTTAAATAGCCCAGCTGAATTTCTCTTGAACTACTGACCTATAAAAAATGTTTCATATTTTTTAGTCTAGTTTCAAATGTTTACCTTTTTTGGAGTAATATTATACAGGGTACATCAGGCCCAGTTCAACTTCACAATTTCAAATATGACCCTATATATCCTGACACATCATTTTAAAGGATTTTTTACGCTGAAAACAATGATGCAATCGGATTCTAAATTGGTCAAAAAATGACAAAGTTATGACAAAAAGTTTGAAAAGAAAAACACATTTCATTTGTTCCAGAGAAATTCAGCCGGGCCATTTAAAAAAGGACACCCTGTAAATTAAAACGGATTGTAAAAGCGTAAAAATAAAGTGTATGAATATTATCTCTATGGTTTTTGTATTTTTGAACCATCCACTCAAAAAGTAATTAAGCGTGTACGCTAAATGTCTTGCATTGCTCAGTGATAGGGACGGACATTGAGCATCAGGGCCACTTACTTATACCACTAAGGGAAAAACTGCAGAAAACACACTGATGAGTTTATCACTCAAAAACCGAAAAGTTCTCAGAGGATGGAATTACAAAATTACATGTAAGATAGGAAAAATTGTGAGCAAAATGGTTCAAATATTGTTGACTAAATTTGTTTACAATACTTTTCATTGAATTTACCATTTAAGGAAAACCTATATACTTATTTTATGACCCCATATTAACAATTAATTGTACGATACTTACAACACTATCATTATTAATTGTATCAATTAGACTAATGACATACCTTTTGCTTTTGGCTTGGCGGTTGCAGGAACTGCTTGAGGTACTTGTGGAAATTGGTCTGCAGTAGGAGTAGGACCGGTTCCAAGCAATTCCCTGTCAAGCTCCTCCTGTTCCAATTCTTCTAATTCCCTTTCTAGCTCATCCTGAAATAAAAAAATTCATTAACATGTAAATAAAAAGTAGTATAATGCCCAAAGATATATCTGATCAATTCAATGGCAATATAGTATCTTATCAGATAAACATAGATAAGAACATGAATTACAGGTATATATTGATACAATAAAAATTTAGAAAAGTACAAAATAATTTAAAATAATATTCAAATTTGTGGGGAAAATAGTATTGATCCAATGTATTGCATCAAAAAGTCAAAAGCAAAATTGAGAGAAGTTAGAAAATCACATAAATCAATTTAAATATTGTCATACCTCATCGATGTCATTTCCAAATGAAATAGGATTAGATATAGCGCCAGATATTTCTTTTGCAACATCATGTTGTTCCGCTATGTCATCCATCATCTCATGAACTTGATCGACATCCCTAAAACACAGCAAATAAACATTGCATTTGTTCATTTTATTTTATTTAAACAAGTTTTAAAGTCAATTTCAATAGTTACATTTGCTGGTGAGTGTTTTTAAGTGTGTCCGCTGCCAATTTCATAGTCTGTAAAATTGCAGTGTTCGTATTGGCCGATTCTAAGGACTCCCTTTGCATTTCGATCGTCGATAACGTTCCATCGATTTGTTGCAATTGCCTTTCATATCGCTTTTTCCTCCTGAGAGCTTGTAACGCAACTGGAAGCACAATAAAAATTAAAATAATTTGTGCAATTCTCTATTGAAATTACAAGAGGAAAGTTAATTGGAAAATGATTTTTCAGACTTTTCCTTTGCCTCAGAAACATATAATTTATTTCACATGTTCTAACTAATTTTTCCAACAATCAAATCAGAGTGACAGCTAGTAAAATAATAGTAAGTACCACACTTTTTTAAAAACAAAACTGAATCACCTAGAAGTTAAACACAATTTTTTAATATTTTTATTTTAAAAAGCCTGGATCTTGTTTTACTACTAAAAAATTCTTGCTGTTTAAATTTCTGGAATAATCAACTAAAGCACACACATCAATCTAGTGTGTTTACTCATCTAAATCACATTATTATTTTATTTGCATGAAATAAGACACATTAAATATCAATATAAAATACAAAAATTATATTCTAGCGGTACCTCAATCCACCAACATAGTAGGTTGAATAAAATCTTATTAATGTATTTCTACATTTACACAGTTTACACTACTTGGAGGCTTAATTAATCAGGATTAATCTGATCTACTGTGGATTCTAAGACCATACAACCTGCCAGAATCACATATTGGGAGAAATGGTGGATAGAGAGATCCTACACAGAATGTCTTTAAGTATCTAAGTAGTAATTACTCCTGGTTTTAGGATGGTATTAAATATTAAATAGTAAATAGTAAAATTAAAATAAAAACAAGTACTGTCCAGATTATCAAGCAAATAAAAATTAGTATGGTACGATTCGTGAAATTTGTAGTGAGGCTACCGCTTCCATAACAAAGAGTATGGAGGAATATCTAGTACTCCATCACACTGAGTGAATAGTATGTAAGCAGGAAAGTATGTATTTAAGAGGGAGTGAGGGTGTGAATGGATTTGAATTTGGAGAAAGATTGTGCTGGGGCTGAAATGACCTAGCTGTTGACAACTCCCGTGCCCTACCTCGGTGGATGGATAAGACCGAGGTCTGAACCCCTCCAACACCTTGGGTTGGTGATTCTCGAGGCATGCGAGTGATTTATTGTAAATTAGATAATCTGGAATTGCTGATGGACTGTGAGAAGCGATGCACTCAACTCAGCCCACATTATGTGTGCACATATGTGTGCAGAATTAGGCTTTTATTAATCAGTAATCAGTAAACATTGCACAACTGAACGGTAAATTTAATCAAACACATGATTATCCAAAGATAAATTTATAATCAAAACTCCCTTCGGTGAAATTGAAACCAGATTTGTGGAAAAATTTTGGAATTTGAATTGAGGCCTTTGATATACACCAATGGATCTAAAATGGAATAAGGGATGGTAGTGTAGATATGAAATAAAAATTTGAAAGGTTTCCTGACTGTGAAATACCAAAATAGAAGAAATGAGAGAGGGAAAGAAGATGGAAATGAAGATAAGAAATAAAGAAAAGAAAGTTGAAGTGGTCAAGATTTATTTATAAAAATTTCTGTCCCAATAGGAAATCCTACTAAGGGACAATTTTAAACAATAAAACATTTTAATACATTCTAATTAATTAGTATTTAAATTTAACAGCAGGCCTGTTACCGAGAACTGCCACTCTGATTGATTTTGTGAAGATGGCTAGACTGTCAGCAAACAAATCCGTCATATGACCAAACTCATTAAACAGTTTTGACATTCGATAGGGGGTGTATTACCATAGCTTGTTCTGTAAAAGCCAATGTGAAATACAACTTGACTTCCAAGATCTCTGTTATGTGAAAGGAAGAAAGGATATTGGATGCATCAATAATATATGAAAAACTTTCCAGGAAAATACTAATTGGCCAGAATACGATGAGTCGAGGACTAATAGAGCATGAAATGGTGGCTGCTTTAGATTTGTAAACTAGATATTTTACCAGTTTTTACTGCACCCTTTCTTGCCTGCACTGATCATCAGATTCAAAGGTTCACAAGCTATATGTGCATTTAGATTACTCTTGTGAGAGAAAAATCATATGAAATTTATTTATAATTTATAAACAAAATTTATGTTCTCTTCAGGTTTCTACATGCAAAGGTCACACCCAGGTCAGAGAAAGACTTTTTATTTCTTAATATCTTGATTTTTGTTGAGAAGGCAGCTAGATCTTTTTGTAAGGGGACGTAATCACACAAACGTAACATAGTGAACCCTTTAATAAGGGACTCCTTTGTTACAGATGTGCCAGCATGAAAGATTTATTTTTTAACAGAACAGAAAACCCCTGAATGTTAATATTTCACAATTTCAAAGAGAAATACAAAATCAATCACTAGATCAGCTGGAATTGTGGAAAAACTAAACCAGTGTTTTGTTTTTAAATTTAGTGTCTAAAATCTATATTTCTTTTCTTATCTTCACTCACATCTTCTTTCCCTCGCTTAATTCTTTTATTTTAATATTTATGTCAGGAACACTTTCAAATTTTTATTTCATATTTACACTACCTTCTCTTATTCCATTTTGGATCCATTGGTGTATACCAAAGGTCATTTCCAATTTGAAACTTTTATTTTCCAAATATCTGGTTGACTTGAAAAATGTGTTATCATATTGTAAAAATCATTAGAATACACCTCTCGAAAGAGGACAAAAGTTCTGCCATGTTGACTGTCCCTTTGCAAGAGATTTCACTGCATTTGTATGTTTTCAGGTTGTCAGACAGAAGAAGGATTGCACTGTCACCAGAACAGTCGTACCATTGAATGTAGAAGTGGACAAAATGAGAGATTTGAAACAGCTGAAGACTTTCAAAGAGAAAGACAAAAATCAGTCACTTCAACTCCTTATAGAAGAGGTAATCACCAGGATATGACGAGACTGAAGGAAACGTACCAGCGATGAACAAACGAAAGAATCAACACCTAGATGAACAGCATCATACCGTTGAATGTTGTAGTGTACAAAATAGGTTTGAAACAGCTGAGCACTATTTCAAACAGAATGACAAAAATCAATCACAAGTGCAGCTAGAATTGAGGAAAAGGAAAAGCCTTTTGAAAAAGTGTGTAAGGCCATCATATTCATTAAATCGTCTATGGCATTGAAACAAGTCGTATGTGACTGTGAAGCCTAAAATTTTAAAGTGACTGCTGTCTGTTATCGTATGAAAAAAAATCTCTCTTTAGAGGACGCTTTTCAAAAGAGGGCAAAAGTAGTGCCACCATTACTGTCCTTTTACAAGGGGCTTCACTGTATTTGTTTATACATTTTCAGCTTATCAGCTAGAAGAAATATCGCACTGCCGCAAGAGCCGTCATATTGCTGAATGTAGTACTTCATATGTTTGAAAGGTTCCAAACAGCTGAACACTATTTGAAAGAAAAAGACAAAAGTCAATCACTGGTTCAACTGTAATTGTAGAAAAGCAAAACCCTCTTGAAAAAATGTGTAAGGCTTCGTTGAATCGGCAGTGGCACTGTAACAAGTTAGATGTGACTTTGAAGCCTGACTTGTCACTCACACATAGGCAATTACGAAAAAATAATTTTAAAAAAAATTATGAAGTTGCTCAAAATTCGGAAATGGAATATCACTTCCCAACGCATAGATAAATAAATATTGGGGTTAATGCTACATCCAGTCGGGTTGAAAGGGATTGGGAATCACCAGAAATTTAAAAAAATATACAATTTAAAAGAAAATGCACATTTACGACAGTTAAATTAAATGGATGACTCATATTCGGCATAACAGAGATTAGTCATTAGGCTTTTATATCTGAAATCGAACGAAAAAACTGGTCAGGAATATGCTAAAGTGTTTTTTTATAACAAAAATGTAATAAAATTAAAGAAATTCTGTTTAGAAAAAAGATAAAATCAAAGGCGATTGTCACAGTTGAAAGTAACCTCGTGATAAACAAACAAAGGAAAGGAGAGGACTCGAGTGTGAAAAATAAAAATAAATTACAGACCTCGTTTGTTGTGCGTCCCGTTTTTCTTGACAATGGCGAGTTCTTGGTCGATTTTCTTTTCTAAAAATTCCTGTTTTTTGACGAGCATTTCTTCGGTTTCTCTCAATTTCTGTATCGCCTCGGACGCAGTCGGGACTTTGTCGTCCTTCTTTCCGCCGAATACTTTGCTGAAAAAGCTCATCTTTCTTTCCTTTGTTAATTTTCAGCTGTATCGCACCGCGATTTTGAGATCGGTTTTTGTTAAAGAAAAAATGTAAAAAAAAAAAAAAGTCCGCTACTAAACGTAGGAACGAGCAAACGGGAGGAAGGAATTCCGCTGGATCTTTCACTGGGCAGGCAACCTGGGCTACTAGATATCAGGTGACTCACCTGCCTCCCAAATAGTCGATTTTTCGATAACAACCATCCTACAAATTTCAATTTCATTTTCCCACTTTCAACTTATTATTATATTTTACCTATCCATAAATTTACCGTAACTTTATTCGGATAAAGTAATAAAAACTTTATTACGACTGACTGGGAAAGGAAAATGTAATATTATCAATGACAGCATTGAATTACAGCGGGTGCTCTTCAATATTTATTTATTAGAATAAATTGTCTATATTTTAACCGATACATTAAAAACATTTTATTCAACCCTCCGACCCTCACTGATAATGTCGCAATCAAAATATAATCGACATCGTTTCTTCAAAATTTCCGCCGAGCTCACTTTTACCGAATTCGCGTAGCTCCTATAGCGTTTTGAAAATTGAATTCACTTTTTACATGTCAAATTTTTGTAACTAAATTAGCCTTTTTTGCAAATTCTCTCTTTTACAAATAGAATTCACACTTTTGCAAATCAATTTTATCCTTGTGCAAATTTAAATCATCATTTTGCACGTCAAATTCACACTTTGTTTCTTCAGTCTTTTAAAATTGAATTCATTCTTTTGCAAATTAATGTTATTTTGCAAACCAAATTCATCTTTTTACCAATAGAATTCATCTTTTTACAAATCATATTCACTCATAAATTTTATCCTTTTGCAAATTAAATATACCATGTTACAATTAAAATTCAAACTATTGAAAATTTACTCTTTTACAAACTGAATTAACCCTTTTTCAACTTAAATTCCCATTTTCGCAAATCAAATTTCCCTTCTGCCAATTACATCTTTTAAACGATTAACTTTTTTGCAAATTAAATTAGCTCTTTTGCAAAGCGATTATTTCTAGATCTATATATTATTTTTAAAAAATCAATTCTTTCCATGAAGAAATCTCATAATAGTGATGTGTATAACAGAACATGTTTCATAATTTATTTTAATTTTTCTCGGCCGACCGGTGAGTTTTAACAGTTTGGGCTACATAGAATATATGCTATATAATTTAAAATAGTGCTAATAGTAACAGGCTCAATAAACACCCTTGTTGCAGTCCAAAAAGTTACAAACTAAAACCATTTGTACACCAAACAGTGATTCTTATTTTAACGAAGTGGTTTTGTAATTTCAAATTTAAAAAGGAAAAACAAATTTAAAAAGTTTATTAAATACAATTTGACGTGGGATATTGAAATTCAAAAGTTGAACAGTTTGATTATTTTGTGTCTGTGGAATGGCCATTGAGATACCAAGACAAGTGATTCCGCGGAATAACCTTCTTTACGTGTAACATGTCAAATTGTAAATAAATAAGGCTGGCTTATAAGAAAGTGAAAAAGATTTTCTTTTGTTTATTTCTACCCGAAAAGTCAATTTTGGACAACAGTAGACGGTTCAGGTATAAAAGATCCTAATTAAAATGTTGATTTTTATTAATATCCATAATAAAACCGTGGAGAAGTTTGTTTTTTGGCATTTGACTTCTCGTTTTTTCCCATTTATTGAACTAGTTTGTCCGTCAGTGTTTGATTTTAACTTTTTTTCAGCCAAGTCAAAGAAAAGCTAAAATACAACATAGATAACGATGCCAACTGTAATATTACTCGATACGTCTGCAAATACAAACCCATTGATTAAAAAACATGGTACTGAATATAGTAAAACATTCCAAATGGCTATTAATGGGATAGCATGCTTATTGGATCACATATCTACTGCTGCACCTTTAGAATTTATTTCAGTCGTATGTATTTCATCTTTTTGTTGGGCTGTATCAGAAGTCTGTGCTTTGATTTGAAGTTTGAGAGCTTTGATCATTTGTAGTTTGGAATTTACTGCTTTCTTCAGTTGCCTGCGGAGTGATAGTCTATCCTAAGTAAGGGTCGACTGAGATGGTTAGTAGGGATCAAATCTACACCTTTGTGGCCTATCTGGATATGCATAAAAACCTAACTTTTCAGATTTGCCAGACCTTTGGTACAAATTCGATTTTTGTAGTGTCTTTCTTGTTATTGTGCTTACATTTCATCAAATTCAATTTTTTTTTTTTTTGGCCTCCCAGCTGCGGGTTGGTTCTCCTTCAAGCGATTTTTCATTTTTGATGAAACTTCTGGAACTCCATTATAACTCTTAATTGACCCTTCCACACGTGGTGAAAATGCTCTGCCACTTAAATGCACATGTACGTACAAAATATTGTGGCCTAACCTATGTTTGGTGGGTCTCAGAGTACTGGATATTCTGCCTGCCATCATTCACAGTAATAAACACATTCACACTGATTATAATAAACTTTCACTACATGTACAATTAAAAATTTAAAAAAAAAGTCACCAAGGTTTTATGCCGTTGTCTCGCTCACAACCACTAAATTTATATATATGTATATATAAAAGCAACCTAGGTTGGTGGGTCCGTGGGGTATTGTGTATTCCGTCATAAACCTACTGCGTGGTACTCTATATTCCACCCCCCCACACACACACACTCTCACTCACTCACTCACTCAACTAGCCCATCACTTTAATAAATACATTCATTCACCTAGTTTGGTGGGTATGTGGGATACTCTATATTCTGCCACACTATCCACACACACACACTCACACTCTGTCATCCTATAGGACTATTAAATGCATTCATTCATACTCGGACTAATAAATAGGTTTGTTCTAAATGGGAAAACACCACATGGGGAAAGTTATCAAATTCAATTATATGCATTTCTCTGCTTTAGGTGTCCAAACAAATTTTGTTGTCAACACTGCTGTGTCAAGTTGTCAAGTTTATTGTGCATCTCCAGTGTTGTGTAGAGCTCCTCATTAATCTTAAGGCTATTTATCTGATCCCAAAGCTTTTCCAAGGACTCCCGTATCCTTTAGGCCTGAGCTTTTCCTTTCCCAGGAGTAGGAATCTCTGCGTACATAAGCCTTCACACCAACAGAGAACATGTTCTGCTGTCTCTTCTTCTTCCTGGCTATATTTGCACAGTTGTTTCTGCCTCTCCGAGTCTATATGCCTCAAGAGTTTGCAATGAATAAAACATTTGTATAAAAATATACCTAGAAAATGCTCAGACTTTTGTTAAGCCGTATTATTATTGACTGAATAATTTTTAAATTGACTACTACAAACTGTGAGATTTTACTGTGTACATTTTTATTCCAGGTGACGTATGTTTATGGATTAGAAGTCTTATGCCCATTTACAAGAGAAGTCAGCACAATTAAAACCTCGCTTCTTCAGATTAAATCTAATGATAAATTTTATTTGACCGAAAGCTTAATAGCCGTAGAAAAGTTCATTGTTTCAGAATGGGGCAGCTCTCATTCCTGCAATGTAAGTAATATTTTTTTTAAAAAGTAATTAACCACTGTTAGATCAAATAACCAAACATTAATCCATCAATATTTTTAACTTTTGTCAATTTGAAAAGTTACCCTCTCAGTATGTCTTGAATTTTTGATAGTTACTGTAATTTAATTTGATGCATTTGGTGGCTTTCCACACATGGTTTTTCATACAGAATGAATGTATTTATTAGCATGAGTGTTTGAGTGAATGGGTGGGTTTGTGATAAAATAGAGAGTACCTCACAGACCCACCAAACTAAGTGGAGTCAAGATTTTATTGTCCTGAATGAATGTATTAGTGCAATAGGTTGAGAGAGGTTTGTGGTTTTTTTTTGTCGGAATATAGAGACCACAGACTCATAAAATTAGGTTAGCTATATTATTGTCCTGAATGAATGTATTTATTAGTTAGTCTAATAGGTTGAGTGAGTTGATGAGTTTGTGGCAGAATATAGAGTGCTCCACACACTCACCGATTAAGCTAGCTTTTTAGCGTATTTGTATTTAGAGTGAAAGGGGGACCACTCTGGCATATCAAATACCCCAGTAACTCCCCAAATTTCATCTGTACATATTGTATGAGTGTATTAATTACATTGAATGTTTATGTGGGTTTGTGGCGGAATTACAGTACAACATGGACCTACTAACCTAAGTTAGTTTTAGATACATTTTTTTTTTGACTGGGGCTTCCGACATCTATGTCATTTTAGCCCCCAACTAAGTCTGTATTCTATTTACACTTTCAAACTTTCAAACATTACATCATACAAATAAATACATTCATACACATAAATACATCTGTACAGAACACTCATTCACTTTGGTTGATGGAGTATTTGATATTCCTCCACCGACCTATACTCAAACTAATCTAGATTGGGGTCAATGGAGTACTTTTATAAAAATTCCGCCATCGACCCTGAACACACACTCTTACGCTCTCAACGTTCGAGGGGCGATGATGACGTTATATTTCACCCTCACCCCTCGCCATTCACGCTAATAAATACATGCACTCAGACAAAACATATAGACACAACACATAAGACATATTATATACAATAAAAAAACCCATTTAAGCGGAACAGGGGACTCTGAAACTCGCTACCGTGTTCGAGAACTCTTCATAAGTCCGGTGGCATGCCTACACGCTCTCTGTAAGGAGCCAAGGCATGACTCGCCTCTATTATGTGGGACACATCGAGCAACCTTTCTCTGCATAAGGAGCACCTGCGCCTCCTAAAATTTTAATTATTTGTATGTCATGTGTACATGAGTTGCAAAGCCTTTTTACCATGTGTGGAAGGGCAAATTAAGAATGATTTTGTTGAAAATGAACAGCCACAAAAATTCATCAAAAATATGATAATAAAATATATGCTAGCCCCCCCCTACTAGAGAGCCAAATTTTGGTAATAAAAAAACCTTGGGTGAAAAATGTGAGATGCTGGCAATAGCCATGGCAGGTAGTTGACCTGGGGGAGGGAGGAAATTAATTTATGCCTGTTCCATTGCATGAAAGTCTTTGCTATTGCACATTTTACAATATATCTACTTAACTTTTGTGTGTTTGTGTTTTTTTGTTGCAGATAGTAGTGGTTCTTATGGACAATGTAATAAACCTATGCGGATTACAACTTCCATTCTCATTTCCTGGAAATATAATTTTCGTTTCCCTTAGTTCTGAACCAGTGCGAAGTAATGTCCCGTCAAAAATTGATTGGTTCAAGTTTAGCGTGAAAGTGTACCAACCCGATTTGCCAATATCTGGTACAGAAGTCCAACAATTATTTATTTCCATAGGGGAACGGTTTTATTCGTTGTGGATTGGAAACTTAATTTGTGGTCATTTTAATTCAAAAATCTCATTGACTCCTAGTCCAGAGGTAAGGCAAAAATTTAAAATGCTTAAAAGTTCATATTTGGAACTTTATTGGTGTAATTTTATATTTAAGGCTAATTGTAGTGCTAAATTAAAAACAAAATGAAAGACTTTTAATATTATTTAATGCATCTTAATATAAAAAACATATTAAGAAAGTAAAGAATAAAATTTAATTGTGTCATTTAAATTAGCCTCATTTCAAAGTTTCTGACTTTGAGTACGCCACATACACTATGGAACCACAAATAGAAATTTGTGGATTTATTGAACTCCAAAATGTTGGAAGCCCCGGAGCTGTGTCAAGACATCTCGTTCTGCCTTACTCACCACCAATACCGTATTTGCACAAGCCATTTTCATCCTATTCGAGCAGAAATCAGGCTTCGACAGATTCAGATGACGAAGGCCAAGATGAGGGGCAAGTGCCTTCATTTTGTGTTCTGCTTCATGGAGCTCTAAAGGTAAACTTTTCCCAGATCAAATGTCTGCTTTATTAAAAAGTTTTTTAAACAATATAGTTAAAAATTCTAAAATAAATATAAATTGTGTATTGTAGGTGGAAAATATGGCAGCTCTATGTCAAGTTGGAAATAATTGGTATGGTGTTCTATTTTCTTGGGCCGATTCAAAAAAGAAATCCAACCTCATGCTCAGTCTGTTGGAACCTGGTTCAGAACCTGTACCTTGGCTTGGAGACCTAAATAATCTTACAATCAAGACTGCATCGGAAGAATGTAATAACGTCTTTAATACAGTTTAAAAATATATTTAATACATGTCTTACTGTCTTAGGTGAAAGTTTTCCTGTTAAAACAGTTGAAAAAAGAAGTTATGCAGCCAATTGTGTTGCTTGGATCCGTCAAGCTGGTTTTCAAACCGATATCCAAAAGATTTTGCGCCATGCACGTAAAATCCCAGAGAAGACTTTGCAGTTTTACAAAGTATGATTGAATGTCATTTTAATAACTGTTAACTTTATTTACATCAACTATCATTTCAGGAGTTGAATCGTGTCCGAAGAGCAGCAATCTGTCTGGGATTTCTTCCTCTTATCGACGGTTTGGCGGCCATTTTGGATAGAGAATGTACAACGCTTCCTGGGACGGTTCATCCGGCGTGTGCATTCCAGTTGTCTCATGCTGCCGTCATACTTCGACAACCATGCAGTAGGGACCCAAAATATGTCATTTTACCCATGAATATGTCGTTTTGATCATAAGAATAAAATTCAATTGGGTTCTTTAAAAAATTCTAAAAAAAATAAATGTTCATAAAATTTTTCTGTTTAATAAAATGTAGCTTAACTTTTGTTTATAGGTGCATTAGTTTTTAAATAATTATGTTGTTTTTGTGACATGGGAAATTAAACAAAAATAAACCAAGAACGCAGAATCAATGTATGTATTAAAATTTAATATTACTGCATAAATTGATCAGATGAAGAGGATATAATTGAAAAGATAAAATTTATTGTTAGTCCTCATAAAAAATTATATAATTCGTAAAGTGCCTTATTTTTTATTTATTCATTTATTTTTAAAAATCTACTTAATATAATTGAATGAATTACAATTAAATACTTTAAAAAATCAAAACAATCAATTATCTTTTATACAGATAAAATAAAATAAAACTTAAAATAATAAATTAGCAGTAAATATTAAAATTTACTGCACTATTTTGGATCAAAGGTCATGCATAGTTATTACTGAGTTACGATAAAGCAAAAAGGCAGAAATAAGAAATATCAACTTTCCTTGTTAAATCCATTACAGTTCCTGGTCCAATTGACCAATTAACATTTTTTAATTAATTAATATTTATGAAAGGTTTTGGTCAAGATAAAAAAGTTTTTCCGTCTTAATTCTACTATTTACTACTTACAGAAAAAGTGGAAAAAGTTAAGTGTATTTGTATTCAGAATTAATATTAAACTTAAAAATTATAAATGATTGTGTACTAATTGTAAAGAAAAACAGAACTTTTATTTTTATCGATTATTATTTTTATCTTGCAAATAAATTAAAAAAAAAAAAAAATAGTACACTTAAATAACAGACTGATTGTTTCGGATTTGAAATTTGATTCTTTTGTGTCTGTGTTTATATATAAAGATTTATCTACGCTTTTTGCTCTTTTTTTATTTGAATTTAAAACAATTATTTACATTTTTGTTTTCCAACATAAACACATGTATGTACAAATGATTTACAAATCTCTGTGTACGCTGAGTGTGTACATACTATTTAAAAAAATTGTGTATAGTGTATTTAACGTGTACAATGTGTATTTTATGGAAAGTACAAAATATTTTATTTATGGTAAGATTAAAAAAGAGTCCAACATTTTCCACTTTTTAAAATAATTTTATTTAAGAGAAAAAATTGTCTTAAATACAAACAGTGATTTATTTTGATTTGATATAAACAATGACATCGCTGTTGATAAGTCAAAATCAATAAATGAACAATCTTGGACACAGAAAAATTTTCTGCTTTTAAATAATTGCTTAGCATTAATTAATTAATTATTTATTTATGTTTAAGTTTAAATCAATTTTATACATCAAATTTTTAACTGCTCACAATAATTAATATCATAGAAACCTACTTGGAATATTGGAAGCCACTCTTCCAATCAAACATGCAAAAAAAAGAGTTGGTTTTATTGACTTATTTTTAGTCATTACAGTTTTTTTTTTAAATTTTTTATATATTTGTGTAAATATAACTTTTCATATTTTATTGTGTGACCGAATCACTTGAAATCCTCTTATGCTCGTTATAATTGCTAAATGCTATAAAAAACTATTAATATTTTTCAATGACCTTAGTACTCTTGATGATGATGATGATAAAAGTGTACTATGAAAAAGGGGTTTGCTGTTTCCCAAGCACTGCCGAATTTGGTTTATTTTTAATTTTCCTACTACCTTTGTTCAGTTCAATTGAATTGATCCTTCTCCTAAGAAATAGACTTTGAATCCTTTTAAAAAGATAATTCCTACTCACAGTAAGTAGGAACTATAAACTTATTGTTAAAACTATAAACCATAAACTTACTGTGAGTAGGAACTATCTTTTTAAAAGGATTGAACACCACACTCACTACACCATTCATCATTTCTATAGTCTTTGAATGCCATTGCTGCAATTATTTTTTCCTTGATCTCCTTGATATCCTAGGTTATGTCTCCATTGAGTGCTTGCTTCACATTTGGAGATAATATGCCAATTTCTTCTTTATTATGGTCAATTCTCAGCTTTTAACGGTTTTTTAAATGTTGTACTCAGGCTAGAATGTAAATCAGGCAAGGTGTTCCTGAAGATGAAGATAAGAACATACTATGAGGTGGGGCACTGCCAAGTTATGGAGATAAAGCCGAGTTGGTGCAACCAGACCTTAGTTTATCAAGGAATTTGATTAGTAGGCCCGGTTTCAGTGGTTGAATTTTTTTTGGGGTTATTTTTAATTTTCCTAGATCCTTCTTTAATGACGAATTAGGCCATCAATGCCCTATTATTTTTACCCAGGTTTTCTTGGTAGTGTTTGTTGTCAAGATATAATATAACCTACAAATGACGTTTTCATTGAATATACCCATGTCGATGTAGATCTATATGATTAGTCAGGGTGTATTTTATATTGCACCCCTTAAGAGCCATTATATCCCCCGTTCCGTGCTAGCACACTGGCGAGTCATAGGGCCTGTTGCACCAATCAACGTTTAAACAGGGTTCACTGGAACCTCGTTCATAATTTGAACCAAGTTCAAAGGAATGTTCGTTTTACTGAACCTCGCGGCCTAATGATGATGCTAATTGATGAGTGTTAATAAATATGCAAGAGAGAAAGCATTGAGTTATATCGTAAAGCAAATAAAAATTGTCGGGCTTGTTGCTCATATAAATACAAAACCACTTAGAACTATGATGTAGTGGGGTCGTCGGTAAGGCGTTGACACGGTGCTCATCACTAAAGTGTCCGGGGTTCGAATCCAGCAGTTCTGCATTCGTACCAGACTTACTTACAACATACATACAAAAACACCAACACCCCGAGGGTTGGTATGACCTCTTCTGTTGGACCCTCGTAAAAATGCATATCAAAAGTTGAGATAAATTTTTATTGGAACGTGGGAACAAAAACCAATAAAAAATCTCTTCCAACTTTTTTTAATCAAAAGTTCAATCTTTAAAAACACAGGTTTTGTAAAGAAATGAATGACGCACTCTGAACTAGGTTTAACCCACGCTCGACGGCTGATCAAAGTTGAACCAGGTTCATCATTTGCACTCGGTTCAAGATAGAATGAAAAACGGCAATTTGTAAATTGAACCCGGTTCAGCACTAAACTGTGTTTAAGCCAAGTTGGTGCAACCAGCCCTTAGTTTATCAAGGAATTTGATTAGTAGGCCTGGTTTCAGTGGTTGAATTTTTTCTATGGTTTAATTGTACGCCCCAAAGCACTTCCTCCTGTGGGCAAGTGTAGCACCACAGTTTGTTAATAGATGTGCTGGTGTTTCCTCTGCTCCTTTGCAGAATCTGCTCTCGCCAAGTTGGGTTATGCCAATCTTCTTCAAATGCACAGTTGCAGTGTCCTGTTAAGAATCCTGTTGGGATTTGTAGTTTTTTCCTGCTTCCTTTAATACATCCTGTTACCTCTTTCCTCCAAAATTTGTTAGGAAGTTCTTGGATTGTTTATGTCCAATGAATGATTTCCATTGTTCCTTCATTTTCTTTTTATCATTCTGTCTGAGGTACTAATTGATAGTGTGGGCTCCTATGCCACAGAAGGGTTTGGGTCCTATCAGCGGTATAGAAGCCCCTTTTCTTGCAAGGGTGCCCGCTTTCTCATTGCCTTCTACTCCCACATGTCCTGGGGCGCAACAGAGGCTGACTTTGTTGTATACCTAATATGTTTAGTTTGGTTTTTCAGTTCAGCACCATCTTTGAACTAATGATGTTTGAACTTAGTTAGTGCTTTGATGACTGCTTGGCTATCTGACATGGTACCTATGCTATTATTTTTGTACCTTTTATTCAAGTTAAATTGAGTACATCCTCTATTGCGTAGACCTCAGCTTGGAAGATACTGGAGTATTTCCACATGGGTTCTGAGTATTTGGTTCCAGGACCTGCCCCCATACCTTCTTGTGTTTTAGATCAATCCGGGTACCAATAGATGGTGCCATTTTTAAAGGAAGTGTTTTTCTCTTTTTCCTAATATTTTTTGGTACCTAGGTTTGTTTGGAAGTTTTGATTAAATTCAAACATCCTGTTCGTGTCATCTCTAGAAGCCATGAGTATTGGATGGTCTTTCATTATGTTGTTGCTATCTCTCTATTTTAGTTTCATTCCTGTTGTAGGTTTCTCTTTAATAATACTAATAATAATTTTCTGTGCTGTCCTCATTATCATATGGTGTAGGGGAATTAATCCTAATATCTTCTACTTTCCAACTGTGGGACTTGTTCACATTGCTCCTGTTATACAAATGCATGCAAGTCTCTGTATTTTTGTGAGTTCTCTTCATTTTGTTACTCTTCTTTATCGGCCCAGGCTATAGCTTCGTATGTCAGCATAGGTCTTACCATCATGGTGTATTTATGCCCTAGAAACAATGAAACTGGATGGGAACTAAACATTTTGGGCACACAACAATAGTTAATAAAATCAGACATCAATTCATATAAATGGGGATTGATTTCATGATCCTGGGAACCAGGGAACGTACAGTAGTCAAAGGGCTGCAGTTCTTGGGAATACACCTTCCAATTTTCTTATGCTTTTACGTTTCCTTGTAAACTTTGCATCATCATTCTGCAGCTGATCAGGCCTGCACCAATTCCACGCATGACCCATTGAAAGAGGTCTTCTGCTATTTCAACAATCAAAAGAGACATCTTCTATCAAAACTTCACTTTCTAGGGGCCTAGGTTAGCAAGATCTCGGTCCTTCAAGCTGAAATACATGCCATCAGTGCTTGTACCTTAGAAAATCTTAAAATAGGTTGCATTAACAAAAAATCCTTTTAAGATCAGATAGCTAAGCAGCTATTAAAGTGTCGACATGTAAAAAAATCACACCAAAATTAGTCACTGAATGCATCCAAATTTTCCAAAACCTGGGGGAAAACAATAACCTGATGTTATCTTGGGAACCTGGTCACAAATGAATTTTGAGTAATGAAAAGGCAGACACTCGGCCAGAGGATGAACTGCAATACCCTGATGTCGTATACCTTTCTTGGAATATAAAAACATAGAATCCTTCATTACAGAATCGATCCAAAAAAGACAAAAGTGGATAAACTCTAGAGGTGCCAAACAAAGTAAGCTTGTGTTAAAACAACCCTCACTAAGACTGGCAAACTCACTGGTTCAGTTAGAGAGGGTTAAACTCAGAGGAGGATAGGAGAAAACATCTACAAACATTGGTATATTCAATGATGACCTCACTTGTAGGTTATGCAATAATGAGGAAGAAACAGCCACCCGTGTAATCTTCAAACGTGAAGCAACTGCTCAATGGAGACATAACTTGGATATAAAAAGAAAACATAGGGGAAGAAATTTAGCAACAACAATCAATGACCGAATACTTAGCATAGGATTGCATTGAATAAGGAACTAGGAAAGTAGAATGAGCCAGAAAGCTGCTTGGGGAAACAAAAACTCTGACTTTCTAGTATCCAAATTTATCGAACCCTTCTGTGGCATAGGAATCCACACTATTAACGAATATCTCAGACAGAAGGGCAAAAAGAAAATGAAGGAACAATGGAATTCACTCATTGGACATAAACAATCCAAGAATCTTCTAACCAATTTTGGCAAGAAAGAAATCACAGAATGTGTCAAAGGAAGCAGGAACAGACTGCAAATCCTAACAGGACACTGCAAACTAAACAAACACTTAAAGAAAATTGGAACAATCCAAGATGGCACATGTAGATTCTGCAAGGAAGCAGAAGAGACACCAACACATTTATTAACAAACTGCGGAGCTACATTAGCCCGCAGGATAAGTTTTGGGATGTATAATGTGACCATAGAAGAGCTTCAACCACTGAAACCGGGCCTATTATTAAGTTTCTTGATGAAATAGGACTCACCAATGGGCTTTAGGCAGAGCACGGGGGATACAATAGCTCTTAAAGGGTGCAGTATACCATACCCTGGAAAAATTATATCTACATCTACATCCAAATTTATCATTATCATCATAATCATTTAATTAAATACTGTGGAAATTCATTAACCTGATTTTTCTCTTCTCTTTCGTAATATTATGATTCTCAAATATTTAATCAAAATGTTATGCACCCAGAAAAAATTGACTGTAAATAAATTGAAAATTAATTGTTAAGTTGTACCTCTCATTCTTACTGTTTTCAGACCAAATAATTCGATTTTCTTTTAGTCAGTTCTTCTATGTAACTTCTTAAAAAAATAAAAATAAAATCTCTTTATTATTATATTAATCCATATACTTAGATAAAAAGAGTAATTAATTAAAATTATTATTATCATTAATGAGATTATTCTGAATTACAATTAATTGGTCAAGCGGACCACAAAATTAGTGAATTAAATGATTTAAAGTGAAATATACTTCACTAAAGCTCTCTGTGGCCATTTCATTTGTCGTCGAGAATCCAATCTGATTTCACAACATTTGAAAAATGGCAAAAAGGAGGGAGAATTCAAAGGGTGCGGTTGAGATGGGAAGTTGGTGTCCGGGTGGATCGAGGTCACGATAGCTCAAGTGGTAGAGCAGCAGCGTATCAAGCCGATGATCGTGGGTTCAAATCCCGCTCGTACCATTGACTTTTTTATCTCAACTAAAAACTTTAATTAATTGTAATATATTAATTGGTCAAGCGGACCATGAAATTAGTGAATTTAATTATTCTGAATTTTAAAAACAAGTCATTATGTAAAAAAATTCACAGATCAGGACGAATTTACAAGGGGGCTTGACATCCAACTGTTCATTAGGTGTCACAGAAGAAAGGTCCAACCACTTTACAATACATTTTTCATACCATTATCAACTAAAAATCCATGGGCTACACCGGGATTCGAACCAAGAACTGCTAGTATGGCAAACATGGGTCGGAAACCTTAACTACTAATCCACTGTGGTTTTGATCAAACTAGCTGAGGAAGGTTTAAAGGGTTTATATTTTTAAATGAAGTACAATTTTGTATATTTTAGTATATTTTTTCAGCCAGAAAAAAGTTTCTTATTGCAGATCATGAACTATGTATATACAAATGACAGTACAGTAGAATCTGATACATATCTAAATATTTCAACATTGTTAAAAAGAACAATCTTGAGGTAAAGAATATAAATTTATCGTTTCCCTATAAATAATATATGATGACCCTTTAATTAGCATTCATTAAAAGGTCTAATAATTTGGTACAAATTATTTAGATTGAACTGTTTAGGCACAAGTGTCCTAAGATTATAGTCTTTAGAGGTTTTTCTGACACCTTAGGTTTATCCAAAACAAATAGGAAAACTAAAGTACATAAGATGAGTTAATATTTCTATTTGGAATTATTGTAACAAAACAATAAAGCATTTTTTTGAGTTTTTAGTTTCATACAATACTTGAAATAACAGTACAACAAATAAAAAAGTTACAGTTTATAGGAAAATAAATTAATTCCCAAATCATAAACAGTGGAGATTTAATTGGAAAATTAACATACATTCTGAATTCCTATTTTGAGCCATTTACACAATTTCCTTAGACTACAAATACATTATACAAACTACTTTTTTTATTTTTTTAAATATAACTCTCATATATTTAATAATGATATGTATGTTTAGAAGATGCCTGCTAGCTCGATACTCAGTCTGATTTATGATATGTATATGTTTCAATGCCATCACAATGAATTTGTTTTTCCTTTTAGTCCTCAGAAAACAGTATACATTTATATAGAATTTACATATATATATTTTTTTTATAAATAAGATTGCGTAGTGTACACTGATTATTTGATATTGGAATATATTAAGGTCTTCGGTGCAATAATTCTGATTGCATTAAAAATAGGATTTTTGGTCAAAATCTTTTCAAATAATCTTCTTTTAGGCAACCCTCAACTTGTTTTCTTCTTTATAGAAATAAAATTGTTTAATAAATTAACACAAGTAATAACAATCGTTGATTTTAAGCAGAAGAGCTATGTTGTACAGCAGCAATGAATTCTTAATTCATTTAAACTAACAGCTCTAATGACTAAATATTAATGTAAAGAATACACATTTTTTGTTTAGATCAAATAAAAATAATTTCTTTGATATAGCTATGTTATATACACAGCAACAAACAAATTTCTCTTTCTAATGAACATTTTTCTCAATTTCTAACATCCAAATACTTTTAACAGCATTAATTCAACGCTAAAAATAGTCGAAGGTTTGACATTGTTTCTTTTTTTATTCAGATCCAAAGTTAAAACATTTCATTTTTTTCACAATTAGTCAATCCTGCAAAAATTTGTGCACCTTAGCATGCCGACTGCATAACACGCAACATATCACACCTCCATCCTGCTGTTTATACTTTTTTCAACTCTCCTACCACTTTACCCACTACATAATTCTGTTCGAAATTCCTAGGTGTGCTTCAGAAAGGGCCAAAGTATCACTGGCTAATGTCGTTCCAAATGTTTTCAACCGGAAGTGATTTTTTAAATTTACACCATAAAAACGACATAATTTTTTTCCCTGTGTATTGTTTTATTTTAATTAATTATTTGATTAAGTAATATAAGACAAAAATTATTATATAAACTTTTTAACTAAACGACCAAATTGAACAAATTTTGCCTACTTTATTTACTTAGTGCTGCACGGGATTCAACCTTGTATAAAAAAGAATCAGTACTTTTTTTTAAATGCCAGAGACTTACTTTACTTGATAAATTGGTTTACTTTTTAGCTTCATAAATCATAACTTCAAATCTATTAAATAAAAACTGTACACATTTGTACAGAATCACATTAGAAATTAAATTGTGACACAAACCAATTCACAAACAAGACTTAAAAAAATGTAAAATGTCTTAAAAATGTACGATCAGTACAGATGGTTCTTTTCTAATTGCTCAACCCAGACACATCCAAGCGGCCCTCCCTGGACATGTTTTAATGTGACAAAGCTCCAGCGAGGAAGGTAAAGACCTCTTGGTAAAGCAATAGTGCTAAAAAAAAACTCTAATAAATGCTGTATTGGCTAAGGTGTAGAGAAAAAGAAGAAAGACTTAGAGGTTAGGGATGATCCCTTTCTCAATACTCTACACGTACACCTCCAAGTGGTCCATCCTGGACACATTTTAACTGAGAAAACTCCGGCAAAGCAATAGTGCTTAAAAAAACTTGATAGAGCTTTTGTAGGCTAAGGTGAAGAGAAAAGGAAGAAAGCCCTACAGGTAAAGGTTGGTTAGGGAACCAAACCAAGACAAAGAAACAGATCTGATTTTCACTGTCTTGAGAGCACGACATTCAGTTCAGTTTTTACAAGATTGACCTTATTATGAAAAAAATCCGATCAATGGAATTGAATGATTACAATTTAAGAAATGACCATCTGATTGAAGTGAGTTCATTTATGACTTATTTCGTTTCATATCAATTACTGCAATGTTTGTTGTTTTCAGTTGCGTAAATATTTAAGAATATCATTACACAAAATAATTCAACTATAACATGTACATTTTACAAGCTTCAAATAGATAATAAATCATAAATTCAGTAAAGTTGCTAAATAAAACTTAGTGAAACTATATAATTAAATATATACATTTATTTAACTTATATTGTGACTAAACAATCAACATTGAATCTGTACAATCTATTGTCATTATTATCTATATGCTACAATATATTTCAACATGTCCACATATATTTTTTGTTCTGGAAGTGTCCAAGTAATTTTATGTACAAATTGTCAGAGGTGATTTGTTTTGTTTGTTAATTTTTTTTTAGCTCAATAAGTATATGGAATTGAAGGCATTTAACCCCTCGGGTCTTGGTCGCCTACCCTGCGTAATATATATATATATATGGAATTGAAAACATTTTTTGTACTATTATTTTGTGAATTGCAAATCTATGAAACTTAAATTGTATTTTTGCTATCATTTATTGACTTGTACAAAGTGTGTGGATTAATAATTTGAAAAATTCAAATTTAAAGTTTAAATAACAATATTACAATTATCACAAAACAATTTAACAAAGATTCAGATCAACCAACACCCCTATTGCTCCTGTTTCAGCATACCTATCAAGTTTTTGTAATATTGTTTTTTAACCCAAATCTGTAGATCCAATTATTTAATACTTTTTATTTTTTAAATGACTTATTTACATAAATGCGAGCAATTTTATCTTTCAGTAAGTAGTTAACGTCATATAATAATTGACCAGATGGCAATCATTTGTATTATTCTCTTCTGCTACTACTTCCTTAGAAATTTATCATTTAAATTACTTAAACATTTTGTAAGTGTACAGAATTAGAGATTACACTTAGTCACAGAAGAAACCAGATTTTGTGACATCGAATTTATTTATATCTAGGGGTGATTAAGTCCACTATGGTCATGACAACTTGGATCTGAAAAAAACTGTAAATATTACAAAAATTGATATATTGAGCGGTGCCTGCTTAATGGCTGAACTTGGAGCTGGATATATAACTTCAACTTCCGCCATTTTAAATATGGAGAGAAGCAAATGTGAGTGTACGATGGTGTCTTGGGAATTGATCATCTCACTGATTTCCAAAAGTGGACCTTCACATTCCTCCTAAAAAGCAAATTAAATATTTTTAAAACATTTCAGTACATTTTATATGGGCAATTAGAAAGAAAGATAAAATAGAAAATTTTTAGGGGCTCTGGCTAAATTTGTAGTACCCAAAGGCAAGGAATTCTCTGAGGCAACTCAATGAATGATGCAATTACTGCCTAAGAAGCCCTGAAACTCAAGTGGCAGTGTTCTTTTTTCAATATTCCTATCAGGTGCTTGTGCTTTCTTAGTCGAACCAGAAACCTAGTTCTATTGGAGTTACCTTCCAGTAAGTCCTTTGTAAGTCTTGTGGCCCTTCCATGCATCTCTTCACATTCCTCATGCCTGGGGTGTTGTTCCACCAGGTAATGGATACATTAAATATCCATTTTTGGATGTATCCATTTTTGTGGCAATGTGCTAGGCCTAACAGTAGAGGTCCAGGGCCTAGAGAATTCATATTGGCTCCTTTTTTGGCCAGCATGTCCACTTTCCCATTGCCAAGGACTCATGCCAGGGTTAGGTCATTGGTGTCAGGGATTCCATACAATTCCATATGCTTTTTTGCCTTTACCTTGCATGAGACTAGGGCTTAGTTAAATGTTGCCTGACTGTCAGAAAAAATGACTATTTTCCTGGTATGTGTTCCAAGCCTTTTGATTTCTCTGTAGCAGTTTTAATTGTTCGGCTTTCAGACTGAAAAACTGTTTTTTTTACTCTACCAGGGACTGGAGGAGTTCCCTCCTAAGCATTGCAGCTAAGCTGTACAGCTTATTATACTTTATCCCTGACACCATATTTTGGGGGAGGGCTTGCAACACAAATGTGAACTTGAGCCCCCGTTGAACCGGTGTTCTTCCATCGAAGAAACTCATTTTTGAAGGGGGTTGGGACCAAATTCAGGGTCGCTGAGATCCGATCCCGCCTCTTCCATTGATGAGTGCCATGTCAATTTCTTTCAATTGCGGCCACCGGTCCCCTTAGGCGTCAGAAAAAGTCCAGAGGCGACAGTGGGGATCGAACCTACAACCGCGGGATCTACTAGCCGAGAGTCTGACGCCTTAACCATTCGGCTACCGTCCATTCCCAGCCGTATTCCAGTAGGAAGGTATTCCTTTGGCCCACTCATTTTGGAGTAGTGGCATCAATTGGCATGCTTACTAGCTTACTGTGATATCTGCCTGTATCTCCTCCCTCATTTTCCAATGTTTGTTGTAGAAGCTTGTAAGCTGCTGCTCTGGTATCTCTTTGAGTTAGAATATGGAGCAGTAGAAAGTTTAACAATACCTCCAATGGTTAGGTAGTTAGGTTAAAAGTTGGCGCTTTTATCACATCTCCAGTGACAATTAGGCAAACTTGTCTTTGAGTGCCACTTAATAGCTTGATTGCCTTAGCCTGCAAGGTCCTCGTCTATCACACCACCGACTCATAAGCCGCAGGAGGTTCAATGACAAGCATCTGCTATGCTGCTATGGAGCAGCTGAGTTGGATGCATCCTTCAAAACATAATCCAAACAGAAAACTATTCCTAAATTTCTCCTGACCAACTAACCCATTGTCCTTTTGATTCTTATATCCTTCCTGACCTCATAGATTTCTGTCACTTCTGGCATGGACACATCTCTTTACCCATCTGGTAAAGTGGACCCCTCCCTAGCTCTCCTCAATTTAAGTATAACTCCCCTTCCTAAACTAAGAAAACCATCTCCTCTGTAGAGCCCAGCTGACTAGGTAGGTACATTTTTCTTCATTCAGTCAGTCCTCCACTTTTCGCACCAGTCTTTGATAAGCTCAAAGTGTTTTTGGATGTTGGAAGTAGCTTGGATAGGATTCAACATAGAGGACAAAATCACGATATCGTCTACATAGGGAGTGATGATGGTATCGGGAAGTGCAGGTAAATCAGCAGTATAAATTATATAAAAGAAAGGACCAACAATGCTTCCTTGTGGGATGCCGGCTTGTATCTGGCTGACTTGTGAGAGCTTGTTCCCGCACCTTACTCTGGAGATGTGGTCAGTTAGATAGGATCATTCTGTTTTACTCTCACTCTCAACAATGATTTTGGTAATGTTTTAGGTGTGCATTAATCTATTTAAAGAAATAATTTTACTAACCTTTTGCTTCATGAGAAGGCTAGGATCTTCCACAAGGTTTCTTGTCAACGTGGAATTGTTATCAGAAAGTTTGGCAACCAAAATGACATTTTCAGTAGATATTCTAAATAGTGAAAGCATACACGGTGTCTGAAAAACAACATAAACACATATTGAATAAAATAAATACTTAATACTAAATCTTGGATTCATATGCACTAAAAACCCACAAATATGCCATATAATTTCACTAAAAATCTTAAAATGCATGAATGTAGACATGATAGCCTATGAATTGGTGGTTTGGTGGACAAAGACATTACAGATATGGCTCTCAAGATCCTCAGTACTGCCTGATATATCTAATACTGGGACAGCGAGAATGATGCCTACTGCTGCTCTGGAAGTCTTTCTGAATCTACTGCCACTATATTATCCAGGGAGAGACCATAGCCACAATTTATTGTCTAATGCAAGAACATGCTCCATTGGCATACTTGTATAACAAAGATCAACTAAAGCTTCAGGGGGCATCATCTTCAGGCAGACAAGGTTCTGAGGAAGCCTGCTGCTGCCATGACTTTTAAATTCAGATTTGATAAATTAAAATACTTGGTAGAGCAGACTGGGAGAAAGGAATCCCAGTTAATGCCGACCATATCTGGTGTGCAGATGGCTCCAAAACCAAGTGTAGGTCAGAAGCTGGTATTTATGGAAATAAACCAAGGACTAGAATTCATATAAGCCTTGGGCAATATGCAACTGTTTTTCAAGTGGAGACTGTGGCTATTGAACACTGTGTCAGGGAGATTAAAAGGCCAGGTATTAGTAACAAGGACACTGAGGGCAATTACTGCATTGATAGTAAGTTCAGGATTGCATAGGGCTCTGTCAGACATTGGGTAAAACAACAAAATTACCCTTATCTGGGTACAAGGGCACAGTAGTAAAGAAGAGGCTGATAAATTGGCAAAGGAAAGTACGACACCAATCTACCCTGAACCCTTTTGTGGAATACCAAATTGCCAAAAACGTGGGTTCATACATTCAATGGGAATGTGCCCAAAGACACGCATGGACTTGATAAATTCCCTGGCCAATGCTAGTAAGGTCCAGAAGCGCTCCAAGGAACCCATGTGCCCTAAGAAAGGCAGTTTTTTAGTTCCCAGTTATCAGGCTTTCAGCCACCCCTGGATCTAGTTGACCCACAAGCTAAACTATAGGTTGTTTGCAAACCACAACTACTACTACTCAGACCAACCTCATTTGGTAGAGCTGCTTGGTTTAGGCTCAATTTTAATTAGCTAATTACCACGTCTAAGGACTTCCTGCTGTCTGCATCCTCAGAGGTGCAGTTTCAAGACCCAGCAGTCCAAAGACAACATTGTCAAACTTGACAATGAACTGAATTCAGACCAAACCTGCGAGGATAGATACTAGACAGACCAAAATGTTTGCTAATTGCAGTGACCACTTGTAGTTACCACGTTACCGCCAGATGCCACTACCACTTATGGAATGTCCTCGCCCTCCACTCTGCAGCCAATCAGAGTAGAGCCCTTCCGAATATAAACGGGCACTTCACCATTGAAACCAGACTCGTCAACACGATGTTCATCTCTAATCAACAATGACAGCAGACTAGTCAACACGACGAGGTCTCACTCGTCTCTAATCAACAACGACAGCAGACTCAGCTCTCTCAAATCACTAATGGAACACCGTCGACGACAGATTAGCCTGATTCTCGCCTTCTAAACACAGCCGACTTGGCTATAAATGCCAGCTGCTGCTCTTCGGCTAATACCTGCACTCGAGTCCTTTCGGAGTTTCGGCCACTGTGGAGTCAACCAACTCACGACCCCGGAACTCAACCAACGTTCACTCGGACACAGACCACAACCAATGGCATCACGGTCTCGGCCTCGATTTATCGTCTCGACGCTACGAAACAACACCGGCCCTTTTCAGGGCCACAAAACTCCCAGTCACTAAACTAATGATCAAAAATTTCACACTTTTTCTTAAAGCTACCAGGTGGGCTTGGACTATGGTTACCCCAATAGCTGCATTGAGCCCATTTTCTTCATGTTATTTTATATAAATCTCCTAATGACGTTTAATTTAACTTTAACTGGCAAGAGATCTGTTAAAGTATTTAGAAAATGTATCTTATTTCATGATGGTACTCCATGGATAAGACACTTTGGTATCGCGAATGCTGACAGGATTTTAGCTTATTTTTCCACTTGGTATTTGTTACCTTAGGCTTCACGTGCTTCCTTAGAAGATTGTGTAGAGAAGTGACAGCTTCATGGACTTCCATCTTTGTCAAAGGCTTGAGCAATGCTTCATCAGCTTCGCTATATCCCAGGAACAGGAAAATCCCTTGTGGAAGTTCATAAGTGTCTAAAAAAACCTAGATTAATAGATATGTACATTTAAAAAGCATAAATTAAAGTATTACCAGGCGGAGGGCGCATACAGATGAACCTGCCAGAATAACAGAGACAACGCCCCCGGTAAGCCTGATATGCTGGAGCGGCATGATTGTAGAACGCGAAATCTGTTTTACAAGGGTGTCTCTCGACACAAATCGTGTTGCATATGAGAGAACCATCTCCGCATTGACAAACATCTGAACAATCAGGTTCCCCTTCTCGGTACAGCTGGTCAAAAAAGAAGGATTTTTTTGTTATTGGTTAGTTAAAGCTTTAATTTATAGTTTTCAACAATTACCCTTTTGCCATCGCCTTCAGATATATATTGTACTTTTTGTTCTGGTTTTTGTACCATACAGTAACCTGAAAGAATTAATTTTTGCGTTGAAATAATTTTTATTTTAAAACATTTAAAAACTTTGTCTTACGTGCAGTGGTTGTAGACGTCGGGCTGGGTGTAGGGGTTGTGGTAGTGGTGGTGGTGGTAGTAGTGGTGGTCGTAGTCGTTGTAGTCGTCGATGTAGTTGTTGACGTAGTGCTGGGTGTGGTCGGAACCGTAGTCAGCTTTGTAGTAGGTTTTGTAGAAACTGTCGTTGGAAGAGGTGTTGTAGTCGTGAGTCTTGCAACTGTAGGCACTATACCGGAAGTGACAGCAACCGAAGATATAATTCGACTCGGCGTAGAAGAAATTAAAGTGGGCCCCACTGTCACAACTGCTCCTCTTCCGACATTCTTCCTTGCATGAAAATCTCTCTGTGATTCGACTGAAAAAAAAAGTAAAAATTGATATTTTATGCTGAACCGGCGTAGGGTCACTTATTGGGTCCGTCTTCACTCGCGGGTTTGTTATATTACTCGAACGCGTTTCAGCATTGAGGAACTCACTGAAGATGGCGCAATGCCGATACACTTTTGCAGTTCAAGAAACCCGCGAGTGAAGACGGACCCTATATTACGCTATGCTGGCTCAGCATGAGTTCAACGACTCGCAGACCAACCCCCATCATCAACTCTTGTTATTTTAGTTAAGAAGGATCAAATGGCAGAGATTGAGTCGAAACCCTCGTCAGTATCCATAGGTGATTAACTAACACCCGCTTACGGATTTCCCGTTAAATTCCTCGGCCATTTATTGAATTTTGACTGAAAAGGGTTTTGAGAGTTAACTTATGTTTAAGTACGAAGAGAAACTACTAATTACAAATGTTATGAAGTTTCTTGTAATTTACGTCGACTGATACGTGCAATCGTGGTGTAAGGTTAATGTATGCACTAATAAGGGCTCTTTACTTGTTTTCCACACGAAACACGGCTAAGCTCTCGAGTTTCATGTACACAGATTCGATATAGAATCCGTGACCAACAAATTAAAGGGGGTTCAACGATATGTAATTGTCATAACAGCTCATAAAAACTGGTTTTTCTGTTTTATTTTAACTGTAATTTGTTTTGACAAAAGGCCGATTGATTTGGTCGACACTACGCATAGAATCGCTGTTCTTCTTTCTACAATTAGCCAACACACAAGGGCAAAAATTGACAAATAGTCTAACAATATCAAGTGTGTCAAAGCGCAAAGGAATTTGGGTCATGAGACAACCTGGCCAGAGGATCTTTACGATCACCTGCCCAGAACCTATAATTGGTATAACAACATTAAACATCCTTTACCAAAGAATGGGTCGACATAAACGACAAGAAGAAATGGACGAACTCATGAGGTGACAGACATAGTAAACACATGATTAAACAACCATCAACAAACTGGTACAGAATAACAATATCAAAGGTGCCAGAGCACAAAGGATTTCGAGGTCATGAGTAAGCAGACAAAATAGCCAGAAAGGATTAATTTGAAATTAAAAAGGATCAATTTGAAGTTGGAAAGGATTAATTTAAATTCAAAAATAGTTAATTTGAAATGAAAAAGAGTTAGTTTGGACAAAAAAGGTTAATTTGACGAAAAAACTAAAATAATTGGGCTCTTAAAAACCACGATTTCTCACAATTTATTTTAATAAATTTCAAATATACAGTTTTTTAATGTTTTAAAGAAAAGATTATTTTGAAATTAAAAAGCTTCAATTTTAAGTTAAAAAGGTTTAATTTGAGTTAGAAATGGGTAATTGTAAATTAAAAAAGGACTAATTTGGTGAAAAAAGTTTAATTTTACAATAAAAAAGGATCCAATAGAAGTTAATAAAGGTTAATTTAAAGTACAACAGATCCATGGAAATTTAAAAGTGTTAAATTGGTTCTTATTAATTCGACGGAAAAAGCTATAAAATAATTTGCCTCTTAAAAGCCACATTTCTCACATTGTTCAAATTAAAATAATTTTCAAATATACAGTTCTATTAATTGTTTTAAAGAAAGAGTTATTTTTAAAGGGACATTTTCTTAAAAAAAAAGATGAAAAGGGTTAATTTGACGGAAAAAGCTATAAAATAATTGGGCTCTTAAAAACCACAATTTCCCACATATTTCAAATTAAAATAAATTTCAAATATAGATTTTTTTAAAATGTTTTAAAGAAAAGATTATTTTGAAATTAAAAAGCTTCAATTTTAAGTTAAAAAGGTTTAATTTGAGTTAGAAAGGGGTAATTGACCATTAAAAAGGGCTAATTTGGTGCAAAAGTTCTTCTTGAAGAGGACTACATCTAGGAGATCTTCATGTTTCATCCACACCATTCATCAATCTTCATGTAGAAATCGTCCACACTGTCATCACCAGAAACAGTACCAGAATTATGGCCAATTTTTTGGGCGCTGTTCCAGAAGCAGTACCACAACCTCAGGTGGCAGCCAAATGCTTTGCATCGAACATCCAGGATCACCATCACCATCACCATCACCGCCTAGAATTCATTTATGCCATTTTCATTCTTCCTCTGGAGCCTTGAAGGACTAAAAAACATCTTCAATCCACTCGCCAAGAAGCTCATCCGTCCAACTTGGATCGCTGCTGACAACAGTTCTTCAAATCATCGATTTCATCGGAGAAAGACTAAATCTATCCATGGGAAGTGACCTGCCCATTCTCACTCTTCTTCCGGATCATCATTTTCCTGAGATTTCTGATACCTTGATAAGAATTCTTGACACACCTGAATTGAACTTATTATTGTATATGTGTATATGTAGTTAGTGTTATACCTTAGATAACGATTTTCTTTTTTTCCTTTTTTTTTCTTTTGTATGCCTTGGGAGTATTTATAACGTTGATTTCATAAAGCCCGCTATTTCTCCCCACCATGGAGACGAATAGAAAAGATAGATTTAGTGTAAGATGAGATAGGGCTGACCGACCCATTCTTGTTAGAAAAGGTGAGAAGAAAAACGTGGCCCGTATTAAGTTTTAATTTTTTTTTTTTTTTTTTGGGGGGTGCTTGTATGGTTATGAGTTTAAGAGTTTGGTCTTGATTGCCTTAGGTTTGTTTATGCATGCTCAAATTATAAAAAAGGATATTCCTGATAATAATTCTAATTATAAACTTGAAGTTGTAAGCATTAATCTTGTGCATTTTATAGATTTTCTAAATAATTAATTAATTAAATTTACAATTATTATTTAATCTTTATTGACTTAATTAATTTTATTTATTGAATTAATATGCTATTTAATTAATTATTTAATATTTATTTCAAATATTAATTTTTTTAAATTAATTTATATATTTCAAGCATTAATTTAATTTTATTTAATACGTTGTACTTCAGAGCGGACGAGTACTTTGATATCCAATCCGATTCAAATAAGAAATCTGTCCCCTCGATGCCAAAGCCAAATGTGGAATTAAAAGAGAAGTTCTTTACACCATTAGTCCATCCAACGTCATCACGATCAAATGTTTTATCTGATATAACTAACAGTAATGGCAATGGCAAATATCTCAAAGGAGGGAGACCTATTATGAAAGCCAAAAGGCGAATTTCAAATTTGGATAAAGAGGCTGAAACTGAAGGGTTAAAAAAGGAGGAAAATAAATTAGTTACCACACGCGAAGGCATTCAGTTAAATTCAAGACATGATGTTTTCAAGAGTCCTAAAATTGAGGAGTTAAGAAACAGAGTAGTGGACAGAAAATCACTAAAAAGAAAACGTTCTCCGATAAAGTATGGGGGAAAATATCAGACCTTGGCTGAGAAGATATTTCATTTTCACAATGATACTCCGCCTAGGTTTAAGTCAAAATCTATAAGATTTGCTCCAGTAAGGACAAATTAACTGAGGACTTATTCTTAACCAAAGTTTGATGGATCCACGCTTTTGGTAATTTGGCATGCCTCAAAAGGGTTCAGGGCGAAATAAGATGAAGGAAATGGCAAATGAAAATTGGAGGGTTAAGGTGTCATAGATTTAAGGTCACTTAAAGCGCCGCAAACAATGAATTGTGTAGCCGCAACAGTGCTTATTACGTATGCCAGGAGGTTGTACGATTCTTACTTGCGACAGTGGTAAGAGAAATGTGATGAATCTAAAAGGTAAACAAAACAAAGGTTTTCTTCCAAACATCAAGATCAAAAAGAAGCATAACCTTCACAATGTTCAAACCTCATGCTTTTAGGCTTTTAACATGACATCTCCCGACGGATTGGAGTCGCAGACATGACAATTCATAGCCAATATTCGACGGTGGTACTGATATGCGGCAATAAGCCACAGTCAGAATATAAAATGATAGGAAACTACTAAGGTAAGACCAAGGGATGATCAAGAGGTCGAGGAGGGGTAGGGTTCGGTTATGACCTGTGGTGACAAGGTAAAAACCATATAGGTCACAGGTTGGATCTATGTATCCCTACGTCATGTACCAATCTTAGACTAATCAGGAACATGGAGCAGTGTCAATCTGGAATGTGTTTTAATACTCACCGACGCAGGGATTGAACCAAAGAACCCTCTGCCACCCCATACAGTCGTACAGCTGGGAAAAATCTGTCCCTTTGCAAGCGCAGTTCGACCTCAGCGCAGTGCCCAGGATACCGAGCATAGCCGTCCTGCAGACCTGCGGAGGCCCGGCGCACTGCTTCGTCACTGCGTCCACCGCACAAGCTTGAACGTAATTCTCTAAACCTATCCTGTAAATCGACAAAAAATAAGGTTTCATTGAATTTTGACATAACTATTTGTTCGGGTTTTAATTATTTTACTAGTGACACAATAGTATTACACAGCTAGCAATGACAACAAACGATCAGAGGGTTTGTACCTTTAAAAGATAAAAAGGATTAAGTACTGGTGTCAGTGCCTCTGGTCTAATGTCCTCGGATATAAAACTTTTTTTATAGCTTCGTAGACGTTAAGTAGTTAGATGAACGCCCCACCGCTTACACGATGAATATTCTCAACTTTATGCCTTGTTCCAGGATTAAATTAAAACTTGTTCATTATTTTCGTCCTTACTTTTTAGTGTTATGTCCTGATGTTAGTCAAACAGTTTGTCGTATTTTTTTTGATTCCGGGTTTTTACCTGCACGCTGAGTCTTCCATACACGAATGGGCGAGCGAATGACACGTCGGGACGACGTTGTTTTCAGGCTGCTGAGCGCAAACAGGGTGGAGAGTCTCTTGTGCGACCAAACATTGATCTTTGGAATTTTTCGTCTTCCTGAAAACACAAATGCATTTTCTGATGTAGAAGATTTGTCAAAATACAAATTAAAGTATAGAAACGAAAACACTATTGATTTATAGAGGTTCGATTCTGCATATATGTGTACTTATGACTTCTCACTGCAGTGCCTGGGGAGCACAAACCTTCCTAGTGTGACTTTTCGCAGTAAGCAGCGAAAAATCACCCTCAGCGATTTGGTATCAGGCCTTGGTTTAAAGTCAATAGGACTCACACTCTTACTCATTCCTAAATACAATCTTTCTTATTTACATACCATTCACTCAAGTACTTGATATTCCTCCATTACCCTTTACACAAATAAACAACTATTCATACAAGCTTAATTGAGGGTCGATCGTGGAATGTTGAGTACTCTTATACTAGACATTTACGCTTATAAATATATTTTCAAGAAACAATTAACACAAAATACATTTATCACCAAACTTGTTGTATATAGTTTTTCCGTCAAATTAACTCTTTTAAATTTCAAATTAACTCTTCCATTAAATGGTAAGAAATGGCATGAAATGTAAGCATGTAAAGTAAAATTCCTGCATTTGCAAAAAAGAAAAAAAAATGGTTCTTACAAGATCACAAGAAAATAATTAATTACAGTTAAAATTAAAAATTATATAAAATTAAATATAAAACATGATACTTTTTTTTAATATTAGATTTTTAAAATATAAAATATTAGGCTCTTAAAAACTGTGTGGTGATTAGTGACCGTTAATCGATATTATTTAGAAATCGTGAGATGCGGTCTGGTGTTATGTAAGTTTCAGAAAAACATTTTCTTTATCGTGCCAATGTTTCGATCTTTATTGAGATCATCTTCAGGGCCTGGGATTTACAAACATTGTTTACATATTACAATTACATTTTGGATTTGGAAAAGTGAATTTATTCTTTTTCCTATTTTATCCCTTTCTATATAATCCTGAAAGGATAATCTGACCGAACCATTACCAACACATTTTTTCCCTTCATCGGCTCTTTTCACCTCAAAGAAGCCGACGCCATTATACAAAAATGTCTTTTCTATACCGACATCCTTCCCCACCCCTTCAAAATCCAACGTATATAAACACAAAATAGCAAAATTTCACTGGCACACTCGACACGACACGCAAGAATGGCACAATTACACAGAAGACAAACACTTTGAATGAGTAGAAATACTCTGATTGAATATATAAAAAAATATATTTTGCATTGTATAAATTCACTTTTCCACATCCAAAATGTAATTGTTATATGTCAACAATGTTTGTAAATACCAGGCCCTGAAGATGATCTCAATAAAGATCGAAACGTTGGCACGATAAAGAAAATGTTTTTCTGAAACCTACATCACACCAGACCGCATCTCACGATTTCTAAATAATACTCTTAAAAACTACTATTTTGTACATTTCTCAAATTAAAAGAAGAATCTTTTATCTTTATATTTGTTTTACATAATTTTTAATTTAGAGAGTAATTAATATTCATATAGGATTTAAGAATCCAAATATAATTATTTACAATAATTTTCAAATGTACAGCTTAAAAGAAAGCAGAAGTTAAAGGTTCATGCATAGAAGTACATTAAAAAATTTAATTTATTGCAAAAAAGGTTAATTTGATGAAAAAAGATTTAATTTGACGTACAAAAATCTAAAAATATAATTAGGCTCTTAAAAACAACAATTTTTACATTTCAGAAATTAAAATAATTTACAAATATACTGTTCAAAAGAATTTCATCAGTAGCCGACAAACTGGCCAAAAGGGTGAATTTAAAATTAAAAAGGATCAATTTAAAGTTAGAAAGGGTTAATTTAAATTAAAAAAAGGGTAATTTGAAATTAAAAAGAGAATTTGGGCATCAAAAAGTTAATTTGACGGAAAAAAATCATAAAATGATTGTGCTCTTTAAAACCAAAATTATCACATTTCACAAATAAAATAAATTTCAAATATACAGGTTCGGTAACGCTTTAAAATAAGGGTTGTTTGGAATTAAAAATGATCAAATTGAAGTTAAAAAGTGTTAATTTGACCGAGAAAGGTATAAAATAATTGGACTCTTAAAAACAGCAGTTTCTCACTTTTTTCAAATTAAAGGAAGAATATTTCATTTTCATATTTTATTTTATATAAATTATACTTTTAATTGTAAAAAAAATCATATGCCCTTCTAAGAGCCAATTATTTTTATATTAAAAACAATTCTCAAATATACAGGAATTTTATTTTACATGCACATATTTCATATCATCTAAGTTTTTAATGCTTTAAATTAAAAATAAAAATTAAATTACGTTAAATTAAAAATAAATCTTTGACATTTGAATACTAAACACATTCATGTTTCAAATTGGTTTTATAATTCCGATTAACTAGTCAAATGCTTGTATTATTTGCTGACATTATCACCGCTGTGGAATTCCAATACTGTTATGGTATTTACAAAAGTCTTTGTGCCCATAAACCCTGTTCACATAGTTGAAATATTAACCCTTGGACTGTTATGACGTTTTAAAAGCATAATATTACTTTTTGATCAACTGGAATAACAAACACATTATAGAACCGTTCGCTTTTGATGTAGGCAATTTAGCTGAAAGAAAAAGAGGTGAATATTGACTCCCCCTGTTTATAACCCTAACGTCGCGCCACGACGTCGTCCTTTGTCACCGGCATTTCATTTTAAAAGAATTAATTTTTTATATAGGTGGTAGGAATATTCGAAACTGGAGTCCAACATCTGGATTATAGAGAAAAAATGTTTCTAGTTTGAGATGGAAAAGTTTTGTATATTATTAATTTTTTTCGAATTATTAAAATTTCTTTTACATACTTTTTTTTTTTGGTAACAACAATGTACAATTATCTCGTATTGCTTGTCAGGTTTTGAACATCTCACAAAAATGTTCTCCACAGATTGGGCCTCGAATGTAAAATGATAGACATCACTCACTTTATTTGAAAGGTAATTTTTGTTGTTTTAAAGGCGGGAGGGATTTGAGCACATGGCAATAGAGTGAGGGAGAGAAGTGAATCAAATAAGGTATGCTACGGGCCGAATTAGAATCGGTTGATTCTGTTTCACATATCGTAATGCAAACTGTCTAAGTTTGTATGAATATAACTGACGGCGTAAATAATGCCGTACGCCCGCGCGCGAGGGGGGGTTTGAATAATAAAGTTAGTGAATCGACCTAATTAAATCTACGCTCCGAAAATAAAGATAAGACTTCGAATAGGTCGGGATATTTAATATTAATTTCCCAGGGGATCGTTCTTCCGTATTTCCAGGGAAGCTGTTGAGTGTGGAACATGACCAGAGGGCTTTATCGCTATTGATTTGTAACGTTTCTTTTCAAACTTTTCTCTATCTGATGTTGACGGTGGACCAGTTCACTTCCTACATGTAACTTGACTGGTATAGTTTCATAGAATCAATCAACGTGAAAAAGAAAAAAAACACTTAAACATTCACACATTTCGAAACAGTGAATTTGATTTGCAAAAGAGCTACTTAATTTTCAAAAGGGTCCAATTAATTTGTAAAAAACTGAACTTGATTTGGAACAAAGTGAATTTCATTTACGAACGGTTGAACTCGATTTGTAACAAAGTGAATTTAATTTTCAAAAGGGTGAAAGTGATTCGTAAAAAAGTGAATTGGCAAAAGGGTGAATTTGATTTGGAATACAGTGAATTTCATTTACGAACGGTTGAACTCGATTTGTAACAAAGTGAATTTAATTTTCAAAAAGGTGAAAGTGATTTGTAAAAAAGTGAATTTGCAAAAGGGTAAATTTGATTTGTAATAAAGTGAATTTCATTTACGAACGGTTGAATTCTATTTGTAAAAAAGTGAATTTAATTTTCAAAAGGGTGAAAGCGATTTGTAAAAAAGTGAATTTGCAAAAGGGTGAATTTGATTTGGAATAAAGTGAATTTAATTTACGAAAGGTTGAATTCTATTTGTAAAAAAAGTGAATTTAATTTGCAAAAGGGAAAAATTGATTTGCAAGTGTCTATTTGTAAAAAAAGTGAATTTAATTTGCAAAAGGGAAAAATTGATTTGCAAGTGTCAATTTAATTTGCAAATGGGTGAAATTCTATTTGTAAAAAAAGTGAATTTAATTTGCAAAAGGGAAAAATTGATTTGCAAGTGTCAATTTAATTTGCAAATGGGTGAAATTGATTCGTAACAAGTAAATTTAATTTCAAAACGATGAATTTAATTTGCAAAAGGCAGAACTGGATTTGTAAGAGTCAATTTAGTTTGCAATGAGGTGAAATTGATTTCTATAAAAGTTAATTTAATTTGAAGAAGATTAATTTATTATGCAAAACGGTGAAAGTGATTTGTATAAAAGTGAATGTAATTTACAAAAGGGTAAAACAGATTTACCAAAAGTGAGATTAATTTTTAAGGGAGAAATTGACTTGTATAAAAGTGAATTTAACTTACAAAAATATAAAACTGATTTCCAAAAAAAAAATTTAAATTGCAGAAGGGTAAAATTGATATGTATGAAAGTGAATTTAATTTAAAAAAAGGGTTGAACGGATTTATAAAAAGTGAATTTAATTTGTGGAAGGGTAAAACTGATTTGTGAGAAAGTGAATTTGTTTTGAAAAAGATGAATTTATTTTGCAAAAATGTCAATGCAATTAACAAACGCTTGAATTTGATTTTTAAAAAGTTAATTTTAATTGGCGAAACGGTGAAAGTGATTTATAAAAAATTGAATATCATTTGCGAAAGGTAGAAATTGATTTGCATAGGAGTCAATTTAATTTGGAAAAGCGTGAATTTGATTTGTAATAAGGTGAATTTCATTTGTGAAAAGGTGAATTTGATTTGTAATGAAGTGAATTTAATTGGCGAAGGGGTGAAAGTGATTTATAAAAAGTAAATTTAATTTACAAAAAGGGGAAATTGATTTGCAAGAGTCAATTTATCTGGAAAAAGTGTGACATTGATTTGA